GAAAAGAGCATTTAAATAGGGCAAAGTGCACGGCGCGGCAGCGACTCGATGTGCACACACGCGGGGCGCCAGGTGAACCCTGACGCTCCGTGAGAATGTTCCACTCTCGCTTGTTCTTCCTCTTTTCCTTCTCCGCCGCTGCGGCTGCTTCTTATGCATCTTCACGGTTACTTTACTCACGCAGTAGGTCAGAGGGTCGCTTGTGTTATATCGCGAGCATCGTCAACTGCGCGCACACGACAAAGTATGACTCCATTCGATAAAGCACGCTCGGAAATTAATCGAATCTCGAGTCTTGTTTCGGCTGACTTCTCACGATAATTTAGAATCTGGCAGCTCGTGTAGCCTTTTAAGATTGCTTTAAGTGCGCTATAGATTACGTTTTATCGCGTTGCTCCATTGGCAGCATCGATAAGTGATTGTATAATATTCCTGACGTCCATACTTATATTTTTAATAAAAAAATTGTAAAAAAACAAGACATATACATAACTTCTATAATAATGACATCTATCAAAGTTGATGCGCTCTTATATATCGCGATCTATTAGCTATCTCATTTTGTGAAAATTATTGAGCTGTTAGCTCTTTTCAAACTGACTAATTTGATTATTTGCTATCTCGTACGCGCTCTCTCGTCCGAAACGAGCCCTCGTTATTTCTCGCCTCGCGCAGCGAAATGGAACCAACATCAGGGAACCAAATAAGGGAAATTCTCACGAGCGCTATCTAATTATTGCCGAATTCTGTCGTTGTTGGCGTCCCCGATATTGACCTTTACCTTCGGTCTCCTCGCGGAGCACTACACGCGCGAGTTGACGCGTGCGAACCGGCATTACGGAGGGGTGGTTGATATCCCGGGGATATAACAGGAAAGGCAGGGCCCGGGGTGAGAGATCACGATTTCATTGGCACGAGCCAAACGACTCGCGCGACATATGTTCACGAACAGCTGATGCATTTACTAATAAGTCTCTTTCTCTATCTCTCCGAGCACGCGATCGCACGACCCCGCACGCGTGTGTGCACCGCCGTGTAAGAGAACCTGGGAAAGTAAAAACCCCGCGACGAGTGTGAGAAAATTCGTGCGCCGCCGCATCTGTTGGGCTACACGTTGCCGCAACGACGGGAACTTTGTCGGAACGCCGTTACAACACGTGTGCTAATAATCGATTCTGCTGCCGTCGCGACTGTGCCACGAAGCGTTATTATCAACCATGATTAACATATGTGAGACCCGCTCTGACGTCAAGAAGTTCATCACAACACGTTTTTCATTGTAATTTGCATTGAGGAATCAAGGTCCAAAATAATTATCGAATATTTTTAAAAACGAAATGTCATCCTTCACGCAGACTTTAAAATGCTGAAGAGATATTTATTTCATAGTATTCTCTTCTTCGATTAAAAAAGATCGCACAGCTAAATTAACTTATAAGAGATTGATTACCGCTAAAAATAAGGATGTGTTTAATAAAATATAGTTTACGCGCACCATAGCTGTCGCTTCGTTATTCTTGTATAATAAAAATATCTGAGAATAATCCTCTATAATTTGTTCATCGATTTCCAGGCGATTGCAACGTTTCCTTCCTTCCGTTCACTGATTGTTAGTTTCGCGTGCCACGTGCTGTAGCGTGAGCACGTGCGAAGGGCGCCGAGAGCGCGATGCGAAATCAATTCTATATTGTCCGTCGACACACTCGAGATATGCATAAGCGTGCGCTCGTGTCTCGCAAAAATAACGTACAATGAAACTGATTTTAAACTGTCAGAACATGAAACACTATATTAAGACTGCTCTTTAAAATGTATCTACCACTGTAATGATTGTTAGCCACGTAAGCATAGCAATTGCGATTCAAAAACTACGCGGATCTAATTGGATACAAATTGCTATAGACGAAACGTGGCCGACAAAATAAAAAATGTAGTCATTCAGTTATACGCGGTAAAACCAATTATTCAAATATTTTGTTCTCCGAACAGTTTGAATAATAAATGGTGTTCTTCTCTACTGTATTAAAAAAACATAAAATATGCAATATGACAAAAAATGGCTGATAAAATAAAAAATGTACTCATTCGGTTATGCGACAAAACCAATTATTCAAGTATTTTGTGCTCTGAGTAATTTAAATAATAAATGGTGTTTTTCTTTACTATATTAAAAAACATGAAGTATACAATATGTAGCACGTATATATAATATATATAGAGAGAGAGAGAGAGAGAGAGAGAGAGAGAAGACCATTGTAAATTAATTTATTAATTCTCTCAGCTAAATAATCTTTAGAATTAGATCATCAGGAAATCTTTATATTAAATATCTGAATTTATAATGAATAATTCCCGACAATCCGTGCTGTTTTAGATTTTCCCAAGAATAGACTTAAAGTCTATTCTTAGGAAGAATAGTTTTAAAGTTTAATATAAATATATCTTTCTTTTATTTAATATCTATTATGTAAATATTTTTTTATTTTTCGAATTTATCGGCTATAGCAGGAGATATGAAACATCAAAATTCTGTGGCATCGTGAAAATTGGTGAAATGACTCGCTTGCTATTCAACTTTCGACTAATTCGCTATTAAATCCGCGATTTCAATCTCGACAAATGACGTAATAGACATTATACGTGTAGAAAGTGCATTTGGTTGAACGTGCAAGCACTACGGAACATTAGGCAAAATTTCCGATTACGACATGCTATCTATTTCGATGTAACTTTGCATATCTACACGATGTTTCGTGTAACACGCGCGGTGTTTAGATATCCGAAAACGAATATATACGGATGTATTTTTAGATATCTAAACATTTGTCATTATCTGGTAGACGAGTAGTTTGACAAGTTTAAGAGTGCGCAGGTTTAATATTTCTCTTCAATATCACCCGATGTGAGCAATGAAATGTTATTTTTCAATTTCAATATTGTTATAATACTCATTATCAAAGCAGTAACATATTATAATAACGAATTGTGGTTTCTCTAACATGACACGAATAAAAATAACCAAAAAATGCAAAAACCGAGACACATAGGTCATCCTTATGCGTCATCAGCTATTCTCAGAAATCGTATTCGGTTCGCTTTCACTGAACGCGCCCGGCTTTCGTGGTTACATCTACATCATCACGTCGCGTTTCAGAATTCAGACACTTAAATCCTGGCAACATCACGCTAATTAGGTCCCACGATATCGCGCGCAGAAGAAGACATCCGATCGAAATAACGGAGCAAGCGAGCGAGACAGGAAACGAGTTACAAGGAGTGTTATCTTGTGATCGCGTCAGATTCTATCGAAGTACCACTACTCGTTAACGACACGCGCAATTGGCCGATACACGAAGGAGGGTATGCCGAGAAAGAAAATAGAATAGGCAGAGAATAGAAGATTGGGAAGCAAAGGAGAGAGGAAGAAAAAGAGAAAGACGGAGCAGGAAACTTTATAAAAGCCACGGTAGCGAGAAGAGATTTAAACAGCAAAAAAAGAGAAAAAGACCAAAATGGACGACGAAGTGGACAAAGAAGAAGACAGGGGAGAAGGAGAGATTGCTAGGGTCGCAGGAACACAGGGAGAAGGCGGGAGAAGTTCGAAACGAGCGTGCGTAATTATTCGGTGCGAACGACGCTTAAGTATCCGAGCCCGACCGCGAAATAAGCGAAGTGGCCGGGCACAGGAAGACGGAGGATGTAGAAGAAAAACGAGCGGGCGAAAAGGGCGAAAAAAAGAGAGAAGGATACGAGGTGCAGTAAAGGCAGAAAAAGGAGGAGGAGGAGGAGGAGGAGGAGGAGAAGGAAGAGGGTCGTATAGGATATAATTCAACCAGTGGCTCGCCGAAATTAGTATCTCCAAGTAGAAACGTGTCTTCGCGCGCGCGTCCAAGATTACTAACTTATTTTGCGCGATGACTATCCGAGTAGGAGGATTTTATAAGTATTCTTCGCGAAATTAAGACCACTTTTACACTTTCGGCCAATTTTTACCGGTTGACGATAGATTATCGTGTCGCAGCGCGAATGAAGGCATTTCATCCCGCTGCTGTGCGAGAGCAACGCTTTGAATATCCGCGCGTGGTTGACTTTTTACTCCTTAGTTCCTTGTAATTACTATCCGTGTACCTGATAATTACGCGTAATCGAGGCCACAGTGAAATATCGCAATACACTCCACTGTCCGAGAAATTCATGGACGGCGTAATAACAATAAAGTCGAAACAAAAACGAAGAGACTTAATTTTTTACATGTTCCTGCTTGTAGCTACAACCCTTTTGTTGTTGCTAAAATTAATTTAAAATTTTGTGGCTCTGCTTCGTGAGTATAATTTCCAAACTCGTAACATCGATCATATTCACAAGTAAAATATTAGAATTAATTATATAATTTGACCGTCTTCGTATATATATTATATATATAATTGTCTTGATATTAATCTCTAAATAATGTATTGCGATAGTGGAGTGAGACTAACAGTGAACGCAACATTATTTTATATTATATTAACAATGGATAAACGTTAAAAGTCTTTTAGACAAGAATCAGTTTAAAAAAATAGCAATCTCTGAATCAGTCTTAAAAATTAACAATACATATTGTAGAACAGCGTGAGGCATAAGGGTAATTGTTTCCCAGCCGTAATAATCGATAAAATAAAGCATAGCGAGCGAATTATTATATTAAGATCTGATACGTTCTTCGATCCCATTCACTCGCCGCCGCGAAACGCGCGTGCTGCTCGGAAAGGAAGACAGAAAATCGGCGCCGGAGCAAGATTAATTAATCGCGTCTCGCTCTGTTACAGGACCGGCTCTGTAACGACCGATTTGTCATACCCCTTTGCACCGACGAGCTTTATCGAGCTCGTCCGCGATTTCCCTCTCTCCCCCCCACTCTGTGTTAATACACGTAAAACGATCGATCAATCGCGCCACCGATGGCCGCGATACCATTTCGCAGCGTTGACCGGATCGGACAGCTACGCACGTACACAGATACAGAGGCACACGGCACACAATTTAACATTGTGTAGCCAGTGGGATTGCAATCACGCGCCGGAATTGCGCCGGACTTGTGCCCAGCACGCTCCTCGATCGGTCGAAGCGGGAGAACCAGAAGCAAGGAGAGACAGAGAGAAAAGAAACTACGAGGAAGAGGGAGGGGGGTCGCGGAATCACGATAAGAAGATCCAGCACGAGCATGGAAGCTGCGGCTGCGATGGAAGGAGCTGCAGTGAGCTGCACCTTACAGGCGGAACGAAGACGAGTTCTCTATTTTGCCCTGAGGCAAGGAGAGGAGGACGTCAGTCGAGATCCTAGTCCTTCCGTATGAACGCTCGTGGAAATACGCGCCAATGAGCGACAGAGAGGGGCAGGGAGAGAGAGCGAGAGGAGCGAAAGATAGATGGATAGAAAGAGAAAGAGAGAAGGAGAACGACGATTACGAGCCGCGCATACCATGGCACGACCACTCGTCGACGATCAGCCGAGGTAGAGAGCATCGACTCCGCGCCGCGGCTAGGTGCAACAAGGACGCAGGAACGGTGACGATGGCTTGGTGTGGGCGCGTGTCTGGCAGCTGCCGCTTACAGGTGGTGTGCTTGCTTGGGAACCAACCTCTACGGACCGTTCCCACGGAAGGCCTGTCCCCCACTATGCGGTCCCATACCCGTCTCCTCGTCCCGTCCACACGGGGGCCCATGCCTATATAAGTCGAAGCCTCGCCCGATCGCGGCTACAATCACGCTCTGTTCGTGTTCACTCGAAGGTCGAGCTGGAGACCGACGTGTTGTCCAGATACACGCACGTTTCCTTCCGCCAACCGCAGTGACTCGCAATCGTAGCAACGATTAAGAGTTCGACGAACCGGTGTGATATAGTACGAGGAGGTCGCGTTCGCGATAAGCCGATACGCACGGTTATCGAGTGAAGTTTTGACTGTGCCGCAAGAATCTGCCGCAAAAGGATTAACCATGCAGATGCACGAGCAGATCATTATAGCCGATGGGCAGGAGCAGCCGATCTCCAGGACGTACCAGTATCGAAAGGTAGGTGTCATCTTTAATATCTTAAAAAAAACAGTCACTCTAATCGTCGCGTAAGTTTCGAGTTAATTTGCAATAAATTCGAATTGTTTTTTGTGAAATTTTTTCCTCGCATAAAACGACAGCCCCGAAAAGTCTCTCTAAGCCGTATTATCAAACGCAACGTCGATCTATAGCTATTCGTTTCGATTCGCAGGTGATGAAGCCGATGCTGGAGCGCAAACGCCGAGCGCGCATCAATCGTTGCTTGGACGAGCTGAAGGATCTGATGGTGACCGCGCTGGCCGGCGACGGCGAGAACGTGGCGAAACTGGAGAAGGCAGACATCCTGGAGTTAACGGTGCGTCACCTGCACAAGCTCCAGCGTCAACAGCGTCTCTCCGCAAACCCGGTGATCGACGCCGATCGCTTCCGCGCCGGCTACACGCACTGTGCGAACGAGGTCAGCCGCTGCTTAGCCGCCACTCCTGGCGTCGACGTCGCCCTCGGCACCAAACTGATGACGCATCTCGGACACAAGCTTAACTCCATGGACAAGACCGGCCCGTTGACCATCCACGTGACCGCGCCACAATCCTCGCCGTCACCCACCAGCGAGCTCAGCGCCGACGAGTACCCGATGCCGCTGACGCCGGCGTCCAGCCAGCCATCCCCGGTGCGAACCGATATCGACGCCGTCTCCCAGAGCCACCAGGGTCTTCTGCAGGTGGCCAAGCCGAACGAGCCCATCTGGCGGCCCTGGTAAAACCCCCGGCACGGCCCTGGCACGACAAACTCGCCGAAGTTTCTGAGTAAACCGGCGAGAAAAAAAGAGATCTCGAATCCATAGGATTCACGAACTATCGACGCCGGTGTTGCAATCTCGTCTGTGATCTGAATGGAACGGACGTCGCGAAGAGGAAGAGCGAAGAAGAAAAGTCTACCCCGTGCGACACAAAGATCACCTAGATTTAAGGGGAGTTCCATTTGCTCAAAGGCACTCGGACCGACGCGGACGATATCGAGACGAATGTCATGCCTCCCATGACGTTCCGCCACCAGCAACTTCGATAACGTTCCGCGGGAGTCGGATAGCACTGGGATCTCGATACGTAATTTTATTCGCGGCCGCGCGCGGCTGAAGCTTTAATTTACTCAACAGTTAGATGTTTTCTATTGTTTATTTCATACTTTTATCGAGGATGTTTTTTTCTTTTTATATTCACCGATGTAACGTAGTTGTATAAGTCTTTCCACCGATCAAGAACATCGAATGTGGGACAACGACGACGGACAGCCTCACGAGAGGTGGCAATTTCGGTGATTCCGCGAAGCGCGCGTCCGTGTCGCATCGCGTGACGCAAATATATATATATATAATATACATATATATATAAATGACCGAGCGGAGAATCTTGTGATAGAGAAACGTGTACCTGTGATATTTACTGTAGTAGGCGTAGAGAATGATAGTAGATTTTTAATAAACATGTTTCATATCAGAAATACGTATTCACGTGATTTCGTGCAGCCCACCCGATAATATAGATTAAGATTTAAGTCTCTAGCAATAATATAAGTAATATAAAATTGTCTGCTCTTCTCTTTTGAATAGCGTGTGTACTTTCTACTAATATGCGCAATATAAAACAAAATCATATTCTCTATTTAAATCCAATACTCACATCGCTAGGAATTATTAAAATATGCGAAATACATTACTTAGCTTGTTAAAATGCGTGTGAAGTTTCAAGATTTCACGTATGTTTCACATTACATGTTTTGTATTAACAAAAATTGTTTTACGATCAATTCGGTAGTCGGCTAAGTAAATCTTTAGACAAATCATAGAAAGAACGATATACGTGCTCGAAAAAACTCTATTCAAACATGGATATTTCAGAGAATTAAACTGCAAATTAAGATTAATCAAATACTAAAAAATGCACTCACCCTCTAATGTAGCTTCCGGGAATCCCTGCTCATTCCTTCCCTGCCAACCGCTTCTACCTGAGAACACATACCGGGAGTGTTAGTGAGCGGTGTAGAAGACATCGGTCGAAAATAATAGAGTAGCAGTTTTCCTATTTCAGTATTTCGTGTATATACGCGCACCGTACAAAAATCTCGCAACGTTTAATCCTTTACTATCAGGCACAAATGCGATTAGACACAATCCATAGCGATTTTTCGAACAAAGTATTGTTTTCTACACTACAGCATGCTTTTCAATTTCTCGGTAAGTACATTACGAAATGAAAATATAAAGATATGCTATCGCCCACGCCGCACCTCCTTGATATCACTTGCATTTGCATTTTATAATTAATTCTACGTTCACCTTCGGCACGCCACGTGGCGACAACTACGGTATAAATAAGTTTCCGGTGCGAAAGGGTTAATCAGACCGAGTATCCATTGTTTCGCGACACGCTTCATTAGCTATACGTCGCGCGTTTACGTGTAAATTTATTGCTATCGGCCTTCGAAATTTGTTTACAAAAGCCAGCTCATGTGAAATGTGACTGCGAAAAGTAAAATTGCAAATCTGGCAGCAGACACGAAAAATAGTCGCTCGTTGCGCCAATTAATTCGTAGTGGCTTCGTATAATAATTTCCCAAGTATCGAAAATGATCGTGCTGAAAACGACGCATTTGTTATACACAAAATTACATTTATATCTATGTAAAAATAACCAAGTAATAGAGTATATTATATTCATATAAAAATAGTCGAGTAATAAAATATAAATTTAACAATTTGAAGATGTAAGCGATATATTCGCTGAAGATATAAGATAAGATGACTTGCAAAAATATTCCTCTATGCGTAAGCATTATAAACTTTAGTTTAAACACTTTAAACCAAACCTTCTCTCTCACATATACGAAACGTAGGTACTATTCAAATCAGCTCGCGATCGCGACTCACGAGTTTGAAATCGGATCATGGTATTCAAAACTTCCGTGCGATACGGCGTAATCCCGGTTGTACCAACAGAAGCTTCGAACTCGCGTGACTCGAGCTGATAACGTAACGCGTAATTGCATTCTCTCGTCTGATTCGAGTTTTTAATACACCTCTGCGTGCTACGGGAGGCGCGCACTTACGGAGGCGCCGTTTCGAGTGCTCTATCGATTGCTTTCAGTTGCAACTCGCGTGCATTCCCCAGCGCGATTCTGCCGTCAATATTTTATCGATTTTCACCTCATCACCTGGCGCAACGAACCTCCGAACGTCCACGTCATTGCGCGCGCGCGCGCGCCAAAATTCGCGCGCGTCCCGGAAGCGGGACGCGCGGAGGCAAAACAAACCGACCGGGCGCGAAGCGGGAATTTCGCCACAGCGATTCCGAACGGTATACGCGCGTCGTAGGATGATCGCGTGAAAACCGGTCGCGTTAATCCCCGCTCGAAATTCGCGAGGACTCGGAATCGTTCCGCGCGACGATGATCACGTCGTTGGCTACGTGGCGAGCGATCGACGTTCCAGCCGCGTCGGGACGGATTATCGCGCGCGCGAGAGATTTAGGTTAGCGTCGCCGGGATCGAATGCACGATCCGATACTCGATCGCCGCCATTGATTCAGAAATTCGCGCGCGCTGAAACTCGCGTCGGAGCGTCTCGCGGGACGCGGCCAGCCGGACGTTATCGCGAGGTCGCGAGGAAGGAGCCAAGGTCGCGCGGTGATCCCGAAGGACCTACGTTACGACTTTACGACCAAGAGCCGCGGCCGACTCACACGTGTCGGCGTCACGTAAACAGCCTCGCATCGCGCGGCTCGAACTCGCCGGTACGCTCGCGTCCGAACGTACCCCGGAAGTCCCTCGGGACGCCGCCCGTGTCGATGGGCACCGCGGGCGCACGGGGAAAAACGAGAAGAGCACTCGGCCACAGCGATATTATACTCACTTTCCCGATAACCGAACCGCCACTCAGCTGTAGCACGTGCTGTCACCACAGGTGCACGATCACGCTTCGCCGTCATCTTGTGGCGCGTTCGCGTAACCACGCGACGCGACGCTGGCAATATCGATATCGTAGCGAACGACGACGGGAAAAGAGAGAAGGTTACGCTCAGATGATAATTCACGGAGACTCATCATGAGAGATTCAAGTCTGTGCCAAAGGTTAGGTTGCGAACTGACAATAAATATTAAAATTCAATCAATTAAATTTATTAAATAATCTTAATTTTAATTCGTTTCGTTCTGATTGATCGAATTCTAATTTCCCATTCGCAATGTTTAACCTCGAATGCGTAGTCTGATAAGAGTTAGAAAAATCTAACATATGAGATTAAGATTGGATGTAATCGTAATGTCGAGGAATTTTCAAGTAAATATACTTCTTATCGCAATGTTATCGGTATCATTATCGCAAATAAATACGTATCATGTTTCCGACATATGAAGATGTAGAAATATAGATATAGATACACGTATGAGATGTCCGTATATAACATCTAAAATAATATATTATTATTACTTATTGTTCCTCAAACAGAAACGTATAAGAAAGTTGAAGCAAAAAAATGAGAATTGCGATTAAATAAATAAAATAGATTACATTAAATAATTACTGTATAATTACTTTGAAACTTTTCATGAGTAGTAACATAAATAAATTATGCTAATTACTCTATTTCCCTTAATAGAAATATTTAAAAAAATGTTGACGTATTTTTTCATATACTGGAGATAATGGGTCTGTTTTCTATTGCTGAACTGGCTGCACTAATTCAGAGTTTATCTTTTTTCTTCCAAATGTGGAATACTGGCTGCACTAATTCAGAGTTTATCTTTTTTCTTCCAATGGAGTAAAAAAGATAAACTTTGCAACTATAATAGTGCAGCCAGTTCAGCTATAGAAAACAGACCCAAATGATAAAATTGATTTTATTCGGTTCATTGATCGCTTTTATTTGGTTTCTATGTCAACCATTCGTGCTGTGCGAAGATAGTCTACGTGTATTCGTTGAATTGCAGTTTTTTAGCAGAAACTCAAGCTGTTCGCATTGAAAAACTTTGCTTCGTGCCAGCTATTATAATTTTTCCGTTCTAAAATGGTGCGGAAAAAAATACATGATCCAGAAATGCGTACGACGTATGTCTTGAAAGCCGGGCAGACGCTTGAGAATACCAAAGTGAGTATTAATTTTATTTATTCTCAAACGTTGAGTTTATAAGGACCGAATTTCCTCTAATATTCATCATAATATTACTGAAAATTTAACTGCACTTTCGCAGGTGTCTGAAAGAGCTCGGGCATTAGTAGTGACGAAGGACACCTTTCAGCGTTTCGTGGATTATACTACGGAGGAGGATAGAATAGCGGCACAGCGAGAAAAGGAAGCTGCAAAAATAGCAGCGCTGAAAAAAGCGACTTATGAAAAAAGTAAAACATGGGACAGCACAATACAAGTACGCTTGATCTATTCACGATTCAATACAATTGCGATCAAATACAAGGAATATTTTATTTCTGAGCTCCGAAATATATATTTAAAAAAATACGGAGATAAGATATATATTTTAAATCTTTCTTATCAATATATATTTAGGATTTCGAAGAAAAATAGAAATAAATTTCTAGGCAGGCATTTGCAAAATTTTTTTCAAAGTTTATTTTATATAGCGACAACTGATAACGCTGCTGAAAACGAAAATGGTTTGATAATAGAATATTAAGGCGAGACAGCGGGAAGAATTATTGTCAAAGAGGAAAAAATCCGAGGAAGAAAGGAGAGTGTTCGTGAAGGAAATGACGGAGAAAAAGGTGGCGGAGCGTGCTGAGGTGGTGCAGCAAGCAAGGAGATTGCTCCAGCAAAAGAGGCCTTTATGCCGACAGATTAATCGCGCTCTCCTCGTCTCAGAGGTATACTTTCCCACGACAGGAGTGTTCGCGTAATTCCTAAGCCAGGCTCACCGTTAATTAAACTTCAAATAGTCTATCACGATTTTTATCAGTGTCTCAGAGAGCTGGACGCCCAAGTGACCTTTCAAAAGGCTATTAGAGCGATGGACCAGGAGCACGATGTGAAATACGCTAATTCGATTAAGACAGACGTCGCAAAATACGAGGAGTTGAAGAAACAAGAAGCGGAGGAACGAACGAAAAAAACGAGAGATTACAGGACTGCGTTGAAGAAACAGTAAACATTAATTTTAATAGGAATTTTTACACAAAAGTATAATAATTCTCTGAATCTTTATTTAGGAATGTTAATATTAGCACAAATTTAATAGATATTAATACAAGTTGAGTAAATATATTAGTCTAGAGAAGTCAAAGATAGAAATATTTATTTTTGACATTTATATTGCGACACGTATTATCAGATTAATTATAAATCAGGATCGAAGAGAACGAACGAGATAATAAGCTAAAAGCAACGGAAGAATTGGAAGCTGAAAAACGGGATCAAAGAAACACGACCCAAGATATGCAACTCACGAAAGAGAAAGAGATGCAAGATGTAAGCGCCGATATTTGTCGCGAATACATTTTTTATTTATCTCAAAGGATTTTAATGTGTATTCCGTTTAGATATTGAATAAAAAGAAGAGACTTCAGAAATTTTTCAAGGAAGCGATAGAGGAGAAGAAACGATTCGAACTGGAATTAAAGCACAACGACGAATTAGAAGATCGAGCGTTGGAAGTTTATCGGAAGGCTAAAGATCGAGTGCGGAAAATTCATAAATCCTTAGCGCTAAAGGAAAAGGAAGAGAAAGCGCGTCAGACACAGATTATAGGTCTGCTTTCCGAGGATGCTTTCAGAAACATAAATTTTGCATGCAGAATTCAAACAAGTAAAACATACCTAGATATTAACGAATCCTGTTTCAGCGGAGCAACATGTTTCAACGGAGCAAGCTCGCGAGGCTAAAGAGCGAGACATCTTGAAAAAAGCTGTCGAAGAGAAAGAGGCGGCCGAGGTGGAAAAGCGAAAAGCACAAAAGGAACGAGAAGAGAAGATGCGCGCTCTCATGGAGGAATATAGGCTTCACGACGCGGCTGCAAAGACGAGGCAAAGACAAGAGGAGAAAGAGCTGAGAGCTTGGGAGATGATGCAGAGATTTAAGAGAGACGAGTATGACAAGCAGACCAACTTGGAAGAACGCAAGCAACAATGGCAACAGAAGTTGGAATATGGCAACGAATTGCGGAAAGATATTGTAAGAATAGAATTCTTTAAGGAAAATTATAATAACCGAATCTAATTTTTTGAAAATAATTATTTCTTTTTATGTGAATTTTACTTTCAATAGTTACTTTTGCGTGCATGTGCATGTTGAAACATAATTTTCACACTTATTTATGTATAAACTTTTTACATTTCTTTTAATCCTGTTTATATAAATACACGACTAACACGACATAAAATATATTGAAAGAAATTTTTTTTAATTTGATATCAGGAGGAGAAACAAGTCGATAAAGAACGCGAAAAGGAAGTTCTCGAAGTTGAAGCGACTAAAGCCGCAATGGAGAAAGCCAATCAAAGAATTTTGGTTTACGGCGACGAAGTTTTAGAAGAGTCGAAGGGTGTGAGACCACTTTATCCGATCATTAAAGTTATAGAGGTACATTTAAACAGTTTGAAAGTTTCAGATTAATAGAATCTCGAATAATTTTAAACAATCGTCTCTGATTGTAGGAGATTAAAAAGGAAATGGGGTTAACGCCAAGCAAGAAAAAACTCGAAGAGTCAACCGTTAAAGCAGAGCGGCCGAGGAGAAAATACAGAGCCCGTCGTCGCTGCGTGTGCCCGAAACCTGTTCCGGTCGATCAAATATATTATTTGCAGTAATTGCCGTTTGCGATAAACAGCGTTAATTTGTAAGTCACCCGTTCGCAATTACCACGCATCCGTCCGATCATTACGTCATTTATTCGAGACGTTATCGAGTCATTTTCGCATCGCACCGTTCAGTCTCGCGCGTTTTTAACTCACGCAAGAATCGGTAGAGACAAAGTCCATGTTAAAACGAAATTTACTAGCAATTGACGAACAAAGAATTCGGCAAATTGTGAAAGTTGGAGTACTCTCACGGTTACTTATTGCAATGGGTACTCGTTATGCATTAAAATATTATACTCCTTTCTCGAGCAATTAAATAAGCTGTCTGGAACGGGTTTCTCGAAAACATGTTTCAATACATAAATTAAGTACGAACATATTAACATGTGACATTATTTCAGTAATATAGCATGCATTTAATGCGAAATAATTTCTCATACGAGCAATTATAAAATACGATTCGTCGCATAAGCAATACACAATGTATCAAATCCTTGTACTAGAATAAATTTATCTTAAAAGAGCACAAACAATATATTTATTATCTTTCTTCTCTTTTCCCAATGTTATAAATTAACCAATAAAATCTAATTCGTATAAAAATCGATTTTAATCGATATTTTACTACGCTGCAAAGCGTCATTTTTTAATGTGCAATAGGTTAAGTTTTAATTAAAAATTTGACATTATATATATACTCTAATACACGTGTATTTTGACTTGAAAGACTTTTAAAAGTATTTTAGATTATTTTGAGGAATAGAAGCCACTTATTCATCTAACTTATTTAAGCATTTATTTCGTCGATACGAGTTATTAAAGATGTCAAAGAGAGATGAAGAACCGAAGGAAAAGAAAAAACAACCTATACCGCCAATGATAAATTTTTTACTGGGTGGTCTTTCCGGGTAATTTCTTCTTTCTTTTTCTTGAATTAAAATATAGTGTTTAAAATGCTCCTTCATATTTCAGAATGGCGGGCACTTGCGTGGTTCATCCGATGGACGTGATCAAAAATAGAATGCAAGTGCACAAAGGGAAATCATCGATCTTGAATATAATTGGCGCTATATACAGCGAAGAAGGCATTACTACGTTTTACAGCGGTTTAACGGCCGGTCTCGTCAGACAGGCGACGTACACGACCGTGCGACTCGGGATTTATAATCAGATGCAAGACTTTTGGAGGTAATCTGATAGCATCGACCAAAATGAATAACAAAATTTCAGACGAGTGATCGCGAATATTTCCAGACAACATGAAAGTCTGAAGAGAAAGTCTGATCGAAATCGAAATGAAATCAGGATGTCTCTTAGACGATCTTTAATAATGACTCCGTGCGGTTGCGTCGAGTTAATCAAATAATCAAATAGTTAAAATAATTAAAGTCACCATTTGGTTGCGGTTTCTAAAAAGTAATTAATTACATTTTAGACAAAGATACATCGGCCGTCCTAGTTTCGCGGTTCTGGCGTTTATGGCTGGGACTGCTGGTGCCGTGGGGGCTTTCGTTGGAACACCAGCCGATGTCGCTCTCGTGAGAATGACAACCGATGGCAGGTTACCAGTGGGTAATGATAAATTTTTGTACAAAATAATTAGTGCATATTGATTTTCATCAGTATCGAAAGAAACATCGCTTAAGATAAATCTTACTAATTTAGGTAATGTTTTCAATATTTAGAGCAGCGAAGAAATTACAAGAACGTGTTTGACGCCTTCGTCAGAATTGCCAGAGAGGAAGGAATATTCACTCTCTGGAGAGGAAGTGTGGCCACGATTGGAAGGGCTGTTGTCGTTAACGTTTCGCAATTGGCTACTTACAGTCAAGTGAAGCATTTGATTGCGTCACAAAGTATGTCTAAACAATAGTTTTCAATATTTCCGATTCATTTTGATGATACAGTTTCTTAAATGTAAATACGAATATGTACGTTAACTTCTGAAAATGTACAAACGTCTATAATACTTCATTTATAAAATTCTATTCTTGTATCTATCTCTTTTGAATCTTTTCATTATTTAAAAAATGATTATTCTTATAGCGAATGTTAAAGAAGGCATAGGTTTACACTTTGGCGCGTCGATGGTATCGGGCTTTGTCACTGCCTTCAACTCCATGCCTTTTGACATTGCCAAGACCAGGTTATTAATTTTAATATTTAGAACTTCTTAAATAGAAGTAAGATTTTTTACTGTTTCTTATTCGCAGAATACAAAACATGAAGACCACTGAAACACCTCCGGGCATGATCTCAGTTATGATGTCGATAGCGAAAAACGAGGGAATAGGGTCTCTTTGGAGAGGTTTTTGGCCAACTTACTGCAGAATCGGTCCGCACACGGTACTGACTCTCGTTATCAACGAGCAACTGATGCGTTTATATAGAACATATTTCCAGTGATAATAAAAAAAATATCCAAATCGAAAATCGCATTTTTGTATCGCACACGCACTCATCACGGACGTACAAAATTTCAGATAAAGAGAAACCTCTATACTTTCTAAAACAATATTCTCATTGATTTAATTAAATAATTGTAACATCTCAATCTTAGATTCTACTCCAATTATATCGTAGCGTGTAATTAAAGGAAAACAGTTAACACTGACGTAGGTAATTATTATTACGATACCGGGAAAAATGTTGAGTACATTCGGTGAAATTGATCAACGCACACCATGGTAATTACAGTATTGGGCGCAGCTCTGGAATAATACGGAAGGAAACCGCGCCATAGTGACATTATGCCTTCCGTTTTAACAATATTAATGATCATAGCCGTGATACCAGGCGGTTTTGTAGACTGTCCCCAATTTTGAATCCTAAAATGCAATCCAAGAATGCATATTTAAAAATCTCAAATCACATTGTCAATCTTTGATATCTCGCCGCTTTACCTAGTTTTAGCTACGTCCATCGGAATCGAAGCGAAACACGTAATTACACTGGACATCATGGCAGCGGCAAATTGCAGAGGTATACCGTTTTGGATATACCCTGTCATATTTAAAAAAAAATCTATTAAAATTACCGATTAGAACCATAAGTAAAATTAATTATTGATTCCAATTTTTCTCTTGTACCTTTATTATCTGTCATGATAATATTCTGACCTATTTTCTATTGTATTTATTATATATTCTTCGCTGTGTAAAATTGCATTGTGAAACGAATAGGTATAGTATTGTAAATTTTAATAACCTGTGTCTCGTAACAACATCTTCGCTTTTGTGTATGTACCTAACTGGGCTCCGTTTACAATCGCTGCTCTGCCCATCGTGGGCATCGCTCCTCTCCATAACCCGGAAAAGCCTTCGGTTTTCCATATATTAAAGATGCCACACACGGCATTCTTATAATTTCTTCGCTTTTCTAAATATTAATTCCCATATTAAGTACACAACATGTCTATATTTGTTATCTCTCTCTATGATCAATCATTCTGAGAAATATAGGCCTAAAGATATTAAGAATACCTGGTGGCAGATTCACGTCAGCCACCATGCGAATCAATACCAGATCCGTGGGAGTGCCGACGAAAGAGCCCATCACACCAGCTACCATCCCGAGACTAATCATCGTAACGTAATTTAAATAGCCAAAATGTTGTCTGAAGAGAAGGAATTTGAATGAGACATTTTTACAATACAGGCAAATATAAACGCCAAATCTGCACGATATTCCGCACACACGATTCCGCGGATTACGATTAATTGTTAAGCGCAACGACCGACAAAATGAATACAATGACTGACATTACTCTCCGATATCCAGCAATGTGGTATAGATTCCAAGTCTACTGGTGGTGTAGGTCAATTGACGAAGAAGAGCTGCGCTCAGCCCCATGTAAAAACCGCAAACTCCGCTCGTGCTAAACGTGCGAAGTGCTGTGTCGCGTAAAGTATCGTGCGACACTTGCATGCGTATCTTGAGAACATCCATCGGATGCGTCGCGATCTGTGCTATAACTCTGTCGTTGGCGGGATAAAATTGCCGTGAGTTCCAAGCCGAACTCACTTTTTTCAAGATATTTACGTCTCGAGTAAAAAGAAAGTAGGTAATGTTGTCATAATAGGCTATAATATGAGTATTTTTTTACCCCGACATGCCACCTATCATAAAATTGACGAATTTCGGCACCTTGGCGTCTTCGAGCGACGCTGACATTGATGTATTCTCTTTTTCTCATGCTAATCTTCAATATCTTACAACTTGTTACTTTTATCAATATTCTTTCAGAGTCTCGATAAGAGAAGTATAAGAACGGCAATTTTTAACCTACTATTTCATTTTCATACTTCTCCTGAATGTAGTAACATTGTATCGTCTTGTTTTGACTTGCATTCGCGATAAAACATTTTAATAAACATTAAAAATATTCTTTTATTTCTATAATACATAAAATATATTTTTTTCGATAAATATTTTAAAATTTATTAATGTATATGTAAAATAAATAATAGCAGTTGCGGGTATGTATGCTGCTACGTGCAGTCTCTCTCGCACATATTTTAATAAAAAAATAAACAATTTTGCTCACCAGCCACGGCGTCGCTCCGCTCAAGAAACGCTCCGCATCAGCTCCGTCAAAAGAACGATGAACACCAAAAACTAGCACTTTATTGTCCACGCTATTATCTACATACGGTATAATAAATATTTTTATACACGCTATTATACGCACATACATATAAACTTCGGAAGTTCGTACACTGTGCTTTCGAAGCGTAAAAACCACGAATTCACGCGATGTGAATACACGAAACGCACAATGCGATATCAAATGCACTTTTTTTCACGACGCATCCGGGCGAATTCTAAACGGTTATTATCACTTACACCCGGTAGTAAATTTTCCGTTAAATGCAATAGGCGCGTTGAAAGCTTTAAAAATGCTGTAGGAGTGTCTAAATCAAATTGTGCGTAAATACTTAAAAATCCGCCACCGACTGTATCTATAAATAATGATCACGTTTTTTTATTATTATTATTTCAACATTCGGTACTCCACGATTAATTCTTCGCGATATTTTTTCGATAACTAAAAACCTCACAGTACGGATATAATGCATGAGATAAATGATTTCTGTAACGGCTATAATATTAATTACAGCAACCTAACTTATTAATTTGTCAATGATTAATGTACAATTTATAATTAATTCATATAACTTTATACATAACTTGCAACTGATTCGTGCATATAATTTTATAAAACAATCACAACATGAACTACAATAATTTTGCACTTTCAATCTATAATTAATGTAAGCAGTGATTGCGACCAAGAGAGAAAGTAATCGCGATCAGTGCCAATTACTACCGTTTAATTCAATTTATTCATGTGCATTTTATAAACTCTAATTTATAACCTCTCATTCTCCATACTTCTAATTTACAGAAAAACTACATGTAAAAGCAGAAAAAGACAAAGAAAGAGAGAGAGAGAGAGAGAGAGAGAGAGAGAGAGAGAGAGAGAGAGTAATCGCGGCCAAGTTATAATTATCGCGATTATTGCCAATTACCATTTACATAAATACCATTTATATAATTTACACTACATATATAAATATTGTTAGGTACTACACATATATATATAGATATTTCAGTTTATTCAGTTTTAATATATTTCAATTAGACGCAATCGTACAGAATTCACTTAATCTGTCGAAACCATCGACATTTGCATTACCGACACGATATTCACAATCAATAATTACAATCGCACGGAGTTCACTTGACGGAACTATGGCACATCGGCGTTACCAATATGGCATATCGTATACAGTGACGCTACGATAGCGCGGAGTTCACTTGACGGAACTGTCGCGCTACCGACATGTATTGTACTCCCCTTACATAAAATTTAATAAGCAAGTGATTATTTGGCCAGTGATTAGTTACTTATTTTGAATAAAAGCACTGTTTTTAATGCTCTTAATACTCAAAACAAGTAATCAATCACTATAAGCCAAATAATCACTTACAGTATTAAATAAATGTCTGTAACAGTCGATGGCGGATTTTTCAATAAATGCAGCAATTATATGCACGCGATGTAATTAACAAGTGCTCAACGTGCCGCTGAAGCGCGTATCTAACGAAAAGTACTCCAATCGCGCTTCGATTCTCCCGAAAAGACATAAGGACTATTTTCGCGCGCCTATGGCATCGGAATCTGTACTCACCGGGACTGTACCGTTTCGAGACAGAACCTCGCTCGGAGCCAGGCTCGATTACGACCGGCGAAACGGCGTCTACCGCGAACGCCCACGGTAACCGACACTTTCTGGCGATCGTGCGTCCCTTCGGTCGACACTCCCGACACGAATTCGCGATCGACGTGCACTTTTAACCGGCAAAATCGGCGATCGATCGCGGAGCGGCCGCACTCCCCGTGTGTCACCGAATCGACGCGCCGAAACTGTCATGGCGGCCGAACGGCCGAAGCGGCCGCTCAACGGCACTGTACCGTTCGACAAATATTTTCGCCGGATACATCCGGAGCCGCGGTACTTCAATGATCTCCCCCCGAATAGTGCGTTCGAAGGCTTCAAAATGCCAAGTATTCGGCGCTGATTTGCGACACGAGTAATCCCTCGCGAGTCGAAAACAGCCGCGAGTTTGAAGGCGGGAAGATAGTTGAACGGAGATATTCGCGCGGTTTTTGCCTGCCGGTATGGCAGGGTCGCTCCGAGAGGCGATGACGAAGACGATGACCGACCGTGTCGATACAGCTGGTGCCTGGTGCCAGTGTTGGCCAGTGTCAGTGTGGAACTTTTTGCTGTCCATGCGTGATGTGCGAGTCAACTGACCAGTAATTTTGTAAGTGCGCTTTATTCCCACGCGCGAAACGCATTGTCCGAAGTGACGGGAGGCTGTGTTTGCGAATTACCGGCGAAGTAACAGGTTAATCGAGCGGTTCTCGATGTGCCGAGTGACGTTTGGAGGTTATTTAGCTCGCCCGTACCGTCGCGGCGTTTACGTTTACGCGAGAATTGCGAGATAACGTCCCGGCTGTCGTGACAAAAGCTGCATCATCGAAGCACGATTGTGCAAACGCTAAACGAATAATTAGAATATTCACGGCCGATTGGTACGTGTTGATTCGCTCGTGCCAAGTCGCCGTCGTCATGCTGGACTGTCAATGCATTCTTTTGATTGTGTTATCTTCGCAAAGAAAGCAATTTTCGTATTTACATATCGCCGCCGACGGTGCAAAGAGTATCTTTAAGTCGCCAGAAAGTCAGCCGTTCGATATTGTTTAACATACAACGTCATCAGTTCTATTGTACATGTGTGTAAATAAATGAAATGACTTTATTTGCACATGCATAATGCGAGGAACAGATTCTCTGAATGGATATTAGGAGCAGTTGTCTCTTTCATTTTCAGAAGATCAATAAGGGCAATGGGTGCTACGCCGAGTCGCTATGAAGATCTTTCCAAGAACGTGCACCTGGGAAGATTCTGCGGGAAGCAGAGTATACCTCCGAATGATCCATTCTGGAGTACGTTTCTCTCTTATAACATACGACCACCCATTACGAGGAACGATCAGATAGAACTGGATTCGCGGCTAGACTCGTCGTGCCAACAGTTGCTGGTTAATAATTTGGTCACCGGCAACTTTGGTACCCTGATACAAATAGCTCTGATACGCATCAACGAGCTGCTAGCGCCTGTGCAAAATCAGAAGTAAGCATGCGTTACTTTATTAATACGTCATAATTGGTTGTGTAATAGTAAATGAATTTTAAACATCTTTGTTTTGTTATTTGCAGTATAATATCGGCATGGCAAACGTACAATGCATTGTTTGCTGTGAGATGTATTTTGAAGTACCTCATTGAGATCGTTGGTGAAGAACAGATGCTAAATCACATTGAAGCACCGCAAACGACAAGCGAAGCACTTCCTACTTATAGATTGGCATTTTTTATCGAAGCACTGATAGAACTCATTACAGATGTACCTTTATGGTAAGTGAAGAAAATATATTGTATGTTACAGTTTTTAAAAATGCATACCGTGTGCGTTAATATATCTAATAAATATATTTATTTTTTTTTACAGTGAATTTACATACGTTGTTCACTTGGAGGCGATCAATTGTTTACTTGTGCTGCTTTCGGTGCAATTATTTTCTCAAACTGCGGCCGAATACAGCACAGTGTACAGGATAGCGATGCACGTGCATCTGAACCAACATGCAGCTACTATGGTGTGTACGCTGTTGCATAATTTTATCCAACAGGAACACGCTCCCCCGGGATTACTGACACAGCAGTCCGGGGGTAGTATTGTATTCAGTATTGCTGGTAAATATAACGATATCACAAAGCGCGGACGCGGTCCATTTTACAAAACGTTAATATAAAGCATTATTTCAGCCGGATTGTGGAACGTAATAAGAATGGGCATAGGCAGCGGTTCGAAAAATGTACAGGTTGCACATAACGGCACTGCTGAGGAAGAAGAGAAAAAACGCGATACGGAAACTCCGCTCGCTAGTCAATCTCTATTACTTCTATTGGTTCTGACGAATCACTGTACCGCTACACAGAATCCATATAGAAACGCGCTCTTCTCTTTTATAGATATGCAAGGTGAGCATCGGGCTGATCTGATTCAATTACGAAAATCCTGATATGAATTATTATTATTATTAACATTGCATATATCAAATAAAAATATATTTTTTATTATAGAAGATCATACTATATCGCAAGGGAACGCAGCTGATACTTTCAAATTTAATCTAAATAAATTATATAATACCATTTGTAAGATACCAAATACAGACGAAGTCACGCTTCTGCTCTACATGCTTTTACATAGAAACTCGAGTGTGAAACAGGACATAATGAGAAGGCCTGATATACAACTACTGGCAAGTGTTATTAAAGCTCACATTTTTCTTTGACTTTAATTACTTCTAATATTTAATAATTGAACAATATTGAAACGTTTGTTTACTCTGTTAGGTAACTCCAATACTACAAATATTATATCATGCGCCAAACAACACATCCCATCATATTTATATGTCTCTAATCATCTTGCTAATTTTAAGTGAAGATGAAACGTTTAACAAACGAATACATGAAATTGTAAGTATCAATATTTTCTTTAATTCTGTAATGATGATTATAGTAATTGTCCTTTTTTTTTCAAGATACTTAAAAGTGTAACATGGTACACTGAGAGATCCATAAGCGAAATATCATTAGGTGGTCTTTTAATCCTTGTTGTGATTCGCACCATACAATATAATATGTTTAAAATGAGAGTACGTGTGATATTTCGTATATATTGATATGAATTCGTACATTTACAAAATGCAACATTCTTTTTATCATTATTAGGATAAATATCTTCATACAAACTGTTTGGCAGCCCTAGCAAACATGTCTGCCCAGTTCACATCTTTACACCCTTACGTTAGTCAGAGGTTGTTAAGTCTGTTTGAAACTCTTGCAAAAAAGCATGCACGGTTAGAAGCAAGAATTCTAGAGCAAACACAGTCGACAACTCTTCCTGCCAGTGGTAGTATTGTTCTTAGTACGCATGTTGAAACGACTATTAATGTAACAGTTAGTAAAAGTAATAAAAAAAAGACCGAGGCTTCCGCTGTTTCTACTGTTACAACCGAAGATTTGGTAAGATACATGAACGAGTCATTTTTTCCGTTTGGTACTTATTAAGTAAAAAAAAAATATATATATATTTTTTTTTTAGATTCAAGACTTGACTATACTTGAGGAGGTCTTACGGATGGTGCTAGAAATTATAAATAGTTGTTTAACACATAGACTCGCGCACAATCCGAATTTAATTTATACTCTCCTGTATAAAAAAGATGTCTTTCAACCATTTAGAACACATTCTGCTTTCCAAGATATTATACAAAATATTGAGTCTGTAAGTTTCCACTTTTAAATTATGAATAGTCAGCATTTTCATATTTCGATATATTATACTTAAATTGATAGTAATAATCGAAATTTTCTGAAACATAATTTTTAGGTAATTAATTTTTTCTCTTATAAATTGGAACAAAAAGATCAGTCACAATTAGGCGTTAGTCAAGTATTAGCTACTATACGACAAGGAACTTTAGAATGGCCAAGGGATCGTTTACGAGTATGTAGAAATTATTACAGATCATTACAATTTGTTTACTCTCATTATGAAAATTTTTATGATATATGTGTACTGTTGTTTATAGAAATTCCCAGAATTAAAGTTCAAGTATGTAGAAGAAGAACAACCAGAGGAATTCTTCATTCCTTATGTGTGGAGTGTCGTTTGTCAAGGAGCATTGTTACATTGGAATGCGGAGAACATAAAATTATTTTCTCCCAATAATGGCGAAGCAACCATCATTGTTTGCTGATACTGAGATGAGGCGTGCATTCTGCTATAAATATTCAAAGCGATAACAGGTTAATATTTGAAACTATAAGTTTGCAATAGAAATATTTACAAAACCAAAAGATGTTTTTTTTTATGGATTAAGATGGAAATTTTAAGAACTAAAATAATAATGAAAATTATATACAGCAGAGTATATATATAATATATGGCATCGAATATATCTACTGCGTGATGAAGTATACCTTTTATAACAAGGATACATCGTCTAAAACGAAACTTTCTTAATCATGTCATTTTCTTGTATAATTTAATACTAATGAAATCGCAAACAAATGAAAAATTGAATTTAATATAATTTTTTCATTCTCATTTTATGGGATAAGAAACTCACAACAGATACTTTATATCTATGAAAATTAGATTTTGTAACTTTTCTGCAATTTTGTGTTTGTGCATAAATGACGTATACCATGTCAAAATAAGTGCAGTTACTGCACGTCGATGGGACTGGTTAAAGTTATTGTAATGTTTTGCATTATAAACGTTGTTACAAGGGACAATGTAATTTTATGTTATTAAAGATATCTACTAATATATGCATGAGAAGTTACAATCTCCACAAATAATATAATTTACAAATGCCCGTATAACTTCGAAACTAAATTTTCTTTTGTAATCTCGTAACTAAATATATATACTAATTGAAAATATTTTTTAATACAAAAATATGAAATTATCGAGGCTTTAGTGAAATTATATCTAGTAGACCAATCAAAGTAGCATGCAATTTCGGTTTTTATCTGCAATATATTTGTAAATAATTATCGAGAAAATTGAGTTTCTACTTGTTTAATTTAAAACATCGCATATTTGTATAGTTGTATTACGCTGTATATGTGCAAATAATTTTTATTTAATATGTACATCAATAAAAACTTTGATATTTATAAATGCCACGTCTCGCTTCTTCAAATACTTGTTTAACGTAATATGGACGTAAATTCACGGGAATAGGACGATATAGGAGAGAATGGAAATAATACAATATTCCATTTTTAACCGGCAGGTCATTTAAAAATCGCACGCAAGAATAGCCAGAATAGCCTATTTAAAAATACTCGAGAGATATAAGTTAATCTTCCTTGAAGTCCTTTTCAAATCAGCTGGAAATTTATCAATTACGGTGACCTGCCGGCTACGTAATGGTCAATTCGCCCATGTCGAATGTACATCTTTATTAAACAAATACAGTTGACGTCTTAATGTTATTTATAATGTCGTTATAGATAGTATTTCATTTTTCCTAGCCTGTGCAGCGTGTATATGCGGCCGCGCGTGATTTTTTGTGTCGTGTACGTGTGTGTATAGTTAATATACTATTGCTAATATACTTCTCATTTTTTGTCTTGAACGATCTTTCAGTTTGCAGAGTTAACAAGATAATTTGACGTTTCTGTGCGTCGCGGTGCAGACGCGCCGAGTAACTCAGTGTGTCACGTTAAAATTAAAGACTCGTTTAAAGTCATAAACATTGCCTTAGCCATACGTCACGTTACGGCTCGAAACGTGTGTGCTTAGCGTACAGATAGTATTTTTTTTCTTTTAATTATTTATTTATTCATAATAATTAAATTCCTTAACTGTAATATACTATACCGTTACTTAATCTTATTAGTTAACACACAATCAATCTGCGATGGGAGGGAATTTAGTCGGCACGTAACGATATTCCGCGTTATGGCCTAACTAATCAGTAGTTGATTATTTCACTCATTACAACTGTCATCGCGCAGTTTTTTTATTGTTAACATCCGATCGTATCGTTACTACGCGCTACTCCTCCACGTACTTTTTCTTCTTTTTTTTTCAGAGAGTGTCGCATACAACGAGAAATAACAACGAGGTCCTGGAGCGATCGCTCGGTATTTTATGAGAAATACGTAATCCGTGTAATACACGCTCTACATGTTTTTTCATGCCTTGGATGCAAGGATGCACTTTTTAGCTTATTCGATTCCAATATTCTCCGGGAATATGGAAAAATGAATCAGTCGGAATATACACAGCAATCTCATTAATGAATTTCCTGTTCTCAATATGGATTCGTTCTACTGAAAACTACTCGGTACATCAATTATAACCGGGGCGCTCTTGTAAAACACACGGACAAAAAGTTCGATCAAGTTACGTTCGCGTGGGAAGGAATTTTGCCGCATTGCCTGAATCGTGCGGCGTGAATCGTCGCAAGACTAACGTCTATCTCTTTTATATTTCTCATTCGACGTTTCGAAAGGAGACGGCGAGCTGAAAAACGAACGATCAAATGAATGGCACGAGGCGTTCGCTCCGCGAAGCGTTATAATTTCTCGATTTACACGCGCGCGTGATCGCGCGTTTATACATGCACGTTTTTCACTGTCGTCGCACCGGGATAGGTGTGTGTGTGTGTGTGTGTGTATATATATATGTGAGATTGTGTATGTGTAAAAGTCGATACGCGTCGGTGGCGGCGGGCGTGTAATATGCGCTGAAGAGAATGCCTCTCGCCTCGTCGTGATAAACGAGAGGAGGTCCTCCCCTCGGAAATTCGGAAGATAAGATTTGACGTGTTAGAGCCCCTCCGACTTATCCGAGCTCCTTCGTTCTTCCCTTAAGAGATCCAAAATATTTCCTCTGACCGTGCGCGTGTGTGTGTGTGTGTGTGTATTCGTGTATGTGTATAAGTGAGACGAAGAAGGGGGAGGAGTATGTATATTTATATACGTAAACATACATACATACGTACACGGGGGCATCTGTGCATATGTATACGTACACGCTCTAGCTGCCTACAAAATACAATGATACATTACAAATTCATATTTTTCCCTCTGTTTCCTTTACTCTTCCCTCTTTACCCCTTTACATCGTCATCATTTGCAAACAGCTTAGATATATTTTATATATATATTTATATATATATTATATAATATCTAGTTGGTTTTTTGTTCTCTGCGCAGTTCCTTCATTTCCCGTTTAATTGAGTGATTAAGTACATCTTTAGAGCGGATGCGCGCACCCGATTAGGTTCACGTTGCGAATCATTTCTCGTTTCATTGATTTCCCGATTTCTCGGTCGAAAGAGACTTTTGGCCTCCCGATATCTCGCTCGGAATAACAAAAGCGTTGTTCGCAAGCGCATGGGCGCTCCCTTATTTCACCGCGTTCGGATTATGAGCATCTTATCACCGCACGTATTTTTTTCTTGCATAACATTAAATCACGTACACGCAGAGGCAGCTTGAGTTTTATGTAACTTAAGCCACATGTTGCTGCTGATTTTGAATTATTTATGTACCAAGATCAAAGATGTTTTTTACATGAGCAAATATTTTCAGGAACGAAGCGAAGCTTCCGAGTGGCGAATCTTTCAAGCGATAAGAATAGAGGAGAGGAGACGATACCAACTTGAGGAACTGTTTCGCGTAAATAAGGGAAGGATGCACCATGCGCGTGCACGATCGTCGGGTAAAGTTACTTTCTGCGAGATACACCCTTTTTCCCACCGATTTTCACGCGCTCTTCTGACTTCGTTACATCGACATCGCGTGATGCACCCGATGGGAGCGCACACGTTGTTTATTTTACGATGTCGCGTGTACGATGATGAAATGAAATAGGAGAATCCCAAGTATCTCCCGAACTGTATAATTCACCGTGCACTTATGCTGCTTATGCTCGAGGATTAAGCATACAAACGCGTGTGTACACATTTACGTAAGCTAATTTAGACACACTCATGAAGGCCAGATCCTTTCTTGACTTCGATCCTCGTAAGAACCTCCATGCGGGGAGGCCGTCGCGAGTGCCTCGGCTGATTTTGTTGATTACCTTCTCACCGTGTTTACGATTGTTATAAAATACGAGATTACGTTACGATAAGATTCGCGTTGCAATGTAATAAAATCGCGTTTAGGAGAAAACACTAGGAAAAGGAAAGACAGTACAAAAGCAAGCGTACACACCGGTATTTTATGTATATAAGTGTATATATATAATATGCGATCTCTGGTGTTATCAGGAACAGATAAACGATCATGTGTCACGTCTCTGTTTGTCTTTATTGATTTATTTTCTTCTTTCCGGTAGTCGTCGAACTCCGCTTTCTCGTTTAGAGCAATCCGAATTCTCGATCGAAGTATATCTGCTTTCGCGCGAGTCGGAGAGATGCGTAAGAGAGGGTGCGTATTGGTAAACCCTCCTCGGGAACGGAGATGGGAAAAAAAAGAAACCTATCCCCCGAGAACGAGAAAGAAACCCTTACGAAGTCGCGACGTTTCGCGATCGCGGACCGCTCGTTGACGAAGCGAAGCTTCCCAAAAAACGTTTCCGACGAATCCCTTATAAAAATGATATGATATGCTCGTTGGAAAAATAAATTGTTCATTATAGTTCCCTATATGAATATAGATATATCCGTACGCGAGTTCTTCGGTACTGATGGTGCCTCCGCATTCATACGATTCGGTATAATTCTAGATTTATGCCAACACAGAGACACACATATACACGAGAATCCGTTCATTATTTCGCGGCGATAACGGATGCGCAGCCGTCGTGTCACCATTTCGATGAAAGAACGAGAGAAAGAGAGAGAGTTTAATGTACCCTACGATGGGATCATTGCACGTGTGTGACGCATTTTCCGACACAGGACCATCGACAGGTATTGTGCGTCGAGGCCCGTGACAGCCCGCCGGACGACAGCGCGTCGCCCGGAAACGACGCCCATAGCGAGAGCGCGTCCGACCCTTAACTCCTAACAGCTGTAAATGTCTAAAATACAACCAGAACTTTTCGCCATAACGCGGTTTCGGGCAGCGATACAAAAGCTAAAACCGCGTTTCGCGCAGCGAGTTTACCGTGCACTCGAGGAAGCTACGGTATCGCGAGAAGTTCCTAATAACAATACAGGGCGGATACCCGTCGACGGCAATACCGCGACGAGAAGAAAACGAAGGGGGGAAAAAAGGAAACGCAGCTTGAGATTCACTGTTAAAGCATACAATACGAATTCAACGTACTACTTGCTTAAAAGGCACGTAAAAGCATCAGTTTTCTCTCTGTGAAAAGAGCGATTGCACGATACGACACGCGTCGGGGAGATTAACAGGAGAAGCACGCTCGATGGCTTTCCCAGCCGCTGCGCATTACTTTAGAGTAATCGTCTACCACTCGAGACGAGACTCTCGCCACGGAATAATGAATGGACGCTGATATATGTATACATATGTAGAGCACGTGCGTGTCGCGAGCGCATAAACCGCGTACCGGTTAACTGCCGTTAATTCGTCAAACGCTTATAGGAAAACTAAGACAACCTCGAACGAGGAGTGAATAATCCACCCTCTAAGCCGATCCTTCATGTGTCAAGTAATTTTAATTAATTAGAAATGAATATTTATACCGGATCAAATTACGTGACGCATGAAGCGTCTGCTCGCGTGCAGATTGTCCCCCTCGCCGAATATTTCATGTTCTCCGAACGTTCACGAACTAACGGCCGGCGGAACCGTCGTTTTTTAACGCGCAGCTTCTGTGTGCGACACGCTTATACACGGATATGGTGCTGTACCGATTATCTTAAATGTTGAAGCACTAGCATGAAATGCGTGGTAATGTCCTCACTCATCTTCTGCAAATCGATCAGGAAGGAACATCGTGCAAAGAAAGAAAATGATCAAAGGCGTAACGACTTAAAAACTAAACATGTTAAAATTGGGCAAGCATCGTATGGCCCAGGCTCAGCCCGATTCACGTGCTACACCGAAGCGAATAGCTTTCAGCATATCTTCGTATCGCGAGCGCTTTTGATCAAAATACGAAAGACACAATTATATTGCGAAAGATTTACATTCATGAGATCAAATGGACCTTAGATAAGAAAGTTTAGTCGAGAAGACGAGGAAGAATAGAGTCAGCTCAGCACTGTGTTTCGCATTTAAAACTACGCTACCGGGCCGTCCTGCCTACAGTAAGAATAATAGAAATAATAATAATGATAAACAACTTTCGATAAAATGGCTGGATATTGCCGCAGCGATTAGTCATAATAAAATAGCGATAACCGTATATAGATTAAAAAGAAGGAAAGATAGTTAGGAGTATAAAAAAAAAGTTCCCTTGTCCTACTACTACCAATGATGAGTCAAGAATATAAATTAAGAACTGCCGTAAATATTCCCGTCGGAAATATTCCCGGCGGGACTTTAAGTATCTCTTGCGTGTATCTCCGATTCTACCAAACATCAACGACGTGTGTTCGTAGGTAGAAAGAGTTTCAACTATATTCGATAAAGCGTCCCGCACTCTAGATTTTTCCTGACGCTTAAGACGAGTACTAACTGAATGCCGTTTTATATCGTTACCTCATCGATTATATCGACGTCATCTACGAGAGAGGATGAGGGGGGACGGATAATACGATAACGCTCTCGCGCAGTAAAGGGGAATAATAATCGTTTAGAGAATCGATCGAGCGATGGAGCGGCTTAAAACGTTAAATCTTATTACTCTATATATTCTGGAGATTCGAAAGCGTAATAAATATTCTAATCCCTTAACGACGCGTCCGTGATATCTGATGCACGAGGAGAGAACTTCGCAAAATCAATCTTTCGGACGCAAGTCGCGTTCGACGAGAGACATCCGTACACGATAATCCGAAACTCTTTACTCCCGTAGATTAAATTCGCAAAGTCGCCGATAGCTGCGCGAGAGATCTTCAACGTGAAATACTCCCGAGACGTGCTCGAGACAAGCATCACGCGGGCGCGCGCGGCGAGAAGAAACGATATATGGAAAAATTTTGCGGGAAGTGGCACGCGGCCAGTACTCCTCTTAGTACGCGAAGAAAGAGGGATGTGTGAATGCTCAGTGTAAAGATAATAGGGTGATTTAAACGTCACGATGATCCCATTCCAGATCGTGCGGCGAGTTGTGACGGCGGTGTCGGCCGTTGCTGAGGTCGCAATCGTTCTCGCAGTCGGAGCTGTCAAGGTCATCGTCCCGGAACGAGGCGTCCTCGGAATCAGAGCTGCCGGAGTCGTCCACATCCTCGTCCCGCTGGCTCTGGTGATGCTGGTCGTGTTCCGTCAACCTGTCCATCGGATTCACGGTGATGGCGAGGCCCGAATCGTCCCAGGCCATCTCCGTCTCGGCAGCGAGCTCGTCACCGGCGGATCGTCGTCGTTTGGCCGCCCCACGTACCCGCGCAGCGCCCACCACTGCCATCAGCAGCAGGAAGCCGATGCAAGCGGCAGCGACGATGGTTACGGCATGGCTGCCGCCGGTGCCACTGACGGTTCTGCTGCCTTCATGAAGCGCGGCTGTAGCGTATTCCTCCGTTAGATCGGCATGGTGCGGCGAGAGCTGTGCGTGACCCGGTGCCGGCTCGATGATTCTGGCGATGGGCGGTTCTCCGGACGTCGTGTGCGGCAGAACGGTCGTCTTCTCCTTAGGATGAATCACAGCAAGCGTTTGCACGTATTCGTTGCTGGCGAAGCGGCCACTCAGCTCGGAACAGGTGAGTTTGAAGACGCGATCAAGGTAATAAGCCGGCTTGCGGTTCGTGTACATGATGAGACGGATGAGTTGCTGATAGTTGTAGGGCGAGTCCGCGCCAGAGAGAACGACGCCGTCTCGGTCAACACGAGCGGAGATGTCGTGGAATGCGAGCAAGGCGTCACCGGGTAATCCCAAGCTCTCGTGATCGGGGTTAAGGCTCGGATAAACACTGACGGCGCAGGCGTCCAATCGGGCGGCTGATCCGGCGGTGACGCGCGCGTCGGGGAACACTCGTACTCCCAACCGGAAATCAGCGTATTCTCGAGCCACGTAACCGGTGCCGTTGACGGTGATGCCCGGTCGCGGAGGCGGTAGCACGGTGACGTAGGACTGCACGGTCGGTACCGGTAGAGGCGTGTTCTCGCTACCTTCGCAGACGATCGTTGTGTCGAGACGGAAGTTACGGCGACCGGGCGTCGGGAAACGTCGAGTATTGGAGTAGCCGATACGACGCAAAAGAGTCTCAACGTTCGTGCGGTTGTCGCCATCGATGCGCACTTCAGTCATGTCAGAATTGGTCAGCAGTTGAGTACCCGGTTGCAACAAGTCCATCGGTGGCACGTGAATGCCCTCTTGGCAGCGTCGCAGGCACGATAGTACTTCTGGTTTCTCGTTTCGGCCGACTAGGACGGACAGGCCGGCGAGATAGCCACGGAAATGGTGTTTGGTCTTATTCTCGGAGCCCTGCCAGCACGCCCCGACCACAAGGGTGGTATTGACACCCTTGGCCGGGTGCAAAGGCCAATCGTCGATGACTTCGGGGTTCTTCTCGTCGGCGCGCCACTCCTCGCCGTCCACGTACAGGTTGACGCGCGGGAAGTCTACCTGGATCGCGTAATGATGCCACTTATCGTCGCATACCTGGCCGAGCTTCCAACGCCATTCGGCGGCACGGAAGATGTTGGGATCGCCTTCGGAGAAGTCGCGTCGCAGCAGCAAAATCAATCTGCAGTTCCTTATGAACAAGGCGTAATGGTGTCTATTCATCTCTGTAATTGAAACGGTACGGCGTTAGTTGCGCCTTTCGTGACGTCGCTGCGCGTAATAAAGTGCAGAGACGCGCGACGGCATTAAGGAGAGATTTAACGCGAAAGGGTAGAGCCGGAGTAGCAGGACGAGAGAGAGAGAACGTTTATAACCGAGGATTACACGTCGCCCATGGAGACCGGTCGGTATTTAGAAAGATTTGTATTTCAGACCGGGTAGATAGGTAGGATATTTGAGTTGAACTCTTCGCGAGGGCAAGTGAGCGTACAAGCGCGAGCGACGACCTATATAAACGTGCACGACCTGATTTCTTGCCAAAATTCATTCCGCGCAAGGATTAAGCCGCTTTGTTCGAAACTTCACGATAATACCCCGGCGTTTCCGCAGAGTGAACGTGTATATTTTAACGCTTGAGCGCGTGCACCGGCGGCGCGTAATGTATTCTGCTAGATCGACGAACATCGCTTGACATTGGAACGACCGGTGAGCTTATCAGCTGTCTAAAATGATTATTGTCTCTTCCAGGTATAAAGGAAAATGAAAATTATAAAGTTTATAGCCCATTTCATTGTTTTCCCGCTATAAAGCCAATCAGAGGATAATAGTGAGCGTGATAAATATGGAACATAACGTTAGAGTTAATCTTTATGATATTCGACACTAAAAAATTGAAAATTTAATATCAAGCAAATTCTTTGTACAATTATTTTCTTTGTCAACAAATTCTTGTTGCTCTTATCGATGGGCATCTTCTGTTTATAAGCAGAAGATGCTTATATCGATAAGAATAACAAAAACAAAATATTAAATGAATACGAAACAATCTGATAAAATAACGTTGAAAAATAATATTGTAATGTAAAGTGATAAATTGTTTTTAATGTTAAAATATCGTGACGCCGCTAAAACATTGAGTTTCAACGTTACGTGAAAACTTACTGTGATCGTCGGCAGCGCACAAAATGTGCTCCTTGACATGCGGATCCTGTCGCGGGCGTGGTCGGTGCTTGACCCAGACGCCGATGGTGAACTTCTGCGCCAGACTATGCTCCAGCACGTCGTTCGGCACAATCGCGGCTGAATCGACGCCGTCAAACTCGAAGATCTCGTCAGCTTCTCTACCTTCATCTCTGGAAAGAGTAGCCGTCCAGGAGGTTGTGGGCCCGGGGGTAGGCAGCAGGTCCACGCTGTCGCGCGAGGCACCGCACAGTTTCCGCTGGCTGCGAACCCCGTAAGTATCGCGATCGCAACCCTTGCCGATGTGGTCGGTGGCCAAAGTCAGGGTGGCGCGCACGTTGCGCAGGATGCAGGGGGCATCGCAGAGGTCAAGCCGCGCCGAGGGAAGCAGAGGCTGCGACCCGACGCCGGCGGCGTAATCTACTCTCTCGGGAATGCCTCGCCATCCAGGAGCGCACACGCGATTCACCTTGACCGTCACCATCGCCGGCGCCGACTGTTTCATGCCGCAGTCATAAGCGACCACGCTAAGTATATAGTTGTGCGAGCGTTCGTAGTCCAGGGGCTCGGTGTTGCGGATGGCACCCTCGTTGTCGATGATGAACGGCTGATCGGCGGTGAGGATCTCGTACTTGCAGACATCGCCGAATTTCGGCGTACAGTCACGATCGGACGCCTCGACGCGGACCACCTCCTCGTAGAGGCGACCCTCGTCCACGGTGCTAACATAGGCCGGTTGGAGGAACTGCGGCGCGTACTCGTTGACGTCAACCACAGTAATATGAACCGTGGCGCTGAAATAAGATTGAAGTGTGCACGTTCAGCTCAAGGTCTCTCTACTCTCCTACGGAGATAACGGACGTGTCGTAGAAACGTGCGGATATGCGATATGACGAATAGTCTAGAATGCCTAGATTCTTCGAATTCCTACGTACCTACATATATCTCTCCGTTTGTACACTCGCAGTTTATATCAATATATTTTCACGGTTATATTTTGTCGGAAATCTGTGCAATTTTTCGATAAGCTTCAGTTAGAATAAAAAAAATCGGAATTACGCAGATGCGCCATGCCGTAACGCGAAATGTAAAAATGTTTACTTCCAGCTACCAGAAAGATTATTTCGACTATTCCCAGAACGGATTACAACCGTAGAATTTCCATTATAATCTCCATGATGAATTTAAAAGAGCTTATTTCCCAAGTTATAAAGGTTACTTTAATAACTTTCGCATCAAGATAATTAGCTATTTCACGCTGCCATAGATACGCTTACCTTGGTAATGGATTTAATTGTAATGTTTTTTCGAATTAGCGATAATTTATACACGCAAAGTGGCGCACAGTGTAGGAAACTTTAATATTTCCGCGTTGTCACAACGGAGGAATGCATTTTATGCCGTAAACCCTTTGGGAAGGGATTTAAAAGAATTACAGTCAAGCAAATACTGTCGATATACTTAATATAAAACATTTATGTGACAGTGTCCGCTCGGAGCAATATCGGAAATTTAATACGCGGCGTACAACGGAAAAGTCAATAATGCGATACCGCAGAGACCGTACGTGCGAGAGAAAAGGATTGAATTTCGACTCGGAATTGTTTCGTTACCGAAAACACACGCATTCAAACAGCGACCCGTTCGAGTTACGCACTCAGAATCTATTTACGTTTGAAATTTTAGACACGGCAAAATCAATGCGCCGAAAATCCGCCAAACGCGTCGCGCAATAATAATAAATAATCGGGGCAAACCCCGCTCGCACGCGTCACATTGGCCTGCCTCGACTCTTCCATATTAATGTCATAATAACGTGTCGGACGCATGTATATACATTCGATATCCTAATTAGAAATTACGACGATGTATTATCGATGGTTTGAGGCACGCGATATCAATCGATCGCGTAATTCGTTCGACCATCGCGCTGCAGCAAAATTTGTAACATCGTTTGCCGCTTTGTATGAAAAATTCACCGCCAAATCTTTTATATATAAAAGCATCGTATGTTGTGCACGTATATACGAGATGTTTCACTATTGATCTGCCATTCGTTGGCGGCGATTCGGCGAAGTGAGACAGATTCCGAGCCGGAAACAGTACGAACATCGCGCGTTAGTTTTTCACAGTAAATTAACCCTTGCAGTTGTTTTCCTGTTTACCTTAATTTTAACCAAATACTGCCAAATTTACCGCATTTGTTACCTAATTGTTACCGACTTTATGTTCTTGACACGCGAAATTGAACATTTTATAAATTGACTGTTTTTACAATCGTGATTTAAATTGTATACTCGCGCAATATAAATACGAAATCATTTGTACGCGCGCGCGATTATAAATATGAATTTTTGCGATTCTCTAACAAAAGCCAAAGTCGCGTGTTTCATCAACGTCTCTCTTCCTCTACTGTCATAACTCTTTGTCTTTCCCCCTCGGGTCTACAATACATTTTATTAGCTGTCGCGATCGCGAGCGTAAAAGTTTCATTCCAAGGGACGTGTATAACATTTATCGAGGCGAAAGATCGGGAGAGCAAACGCGAACGGACGCGAGGGAATAGTCAGCAGTTATCGTTTCAGACGGGCGTGAAATCGCACAACCTCGTAATGAGAAAATTTGTGCACTCTGACTGGGAGTTATTTCCTCATTTGGCTGACACACCGTTGTGACTATGGCGTCGTGCGCGACGCGCCAGCCGAAAAAATTGGCATTGTGCTGGCGCGACGTGCGATCCAATGACCCATATTTGCGCGAAATGACTTATCACGGATTTTAACTACAGATAAATACACGGTAAGGCGATATATTTCCGATATGACGTCATAAAACACGCTTCGTTTTAGATACCGGAGCGCATAATGATATAATCTGCGACGATAACGTGAATGGACGCGTGTAATTTAGGCTTACGTTATTGGACGCACATAAAGTTTAAATTACGAATGTAACGGACGTAAACATATAAAATGGAATGGTTGATTTCTTGACTGTAACAAACATATCATATTTCTGTTTCCCTTGCTACGATAAATGTAACAAATATAATAAATTTCGTACAAGTATTTTCTGTTGTGCAACGTGCCCGCTAATTAATGTTTTTTTTTTTAATTAAAATATACCCGGAATGTAGTACGATAAATTTCCAGGAAGTAAAAAGTTGAGCTATTTTAATAACATCCATAGACTCCATAGATGTATATCATAGCCTTTGTTATCTAAATGTTTTTAACAAAAGTTTACTTCCAGTTATCTAAGTATGCAGGCAGAAAAAAGATAACTACGATGTATGAAGAAAAGTCTGACGAGGTGGAAGTGTACATTTCTACTTAGCTGTTATCTGAGCGCCGAGAGCATCATACGATAGCAAACTTTTTTCACAGCTAAAGCAGTCGCGTGTTGAAGCGGCCGGGCCCGACTCTCGCAATTATAAACTTAGGTATAGTTCTTCCGTATCGTCCATTCCGCTCTACTTTCGTCAAGTTTACTTTATCTCGAGGTGGAGTTTCCACGAATGAACGCGCGTTACGGATTCGCGCCGCTATATACATTTATAACAAGAGGAATGAAAATTTCGCGCGACCGCTCGAGCAAAGTGCGAGGATTGTAACCCCGTGTAAAATGCAGACGTGCATGTAAAAAACGTACTTTTCTGATTGCGCTCCGTTGCAGCCGACCGCGGCGATGTCGAACTTGTAATTACGGCGTTTTTCGCAGTTCAGGACCCGGAACGCCCGCAGCTCGGCCATCCCCTTCTCCTTCAGGACGATCTCGAACGGCGCCTCGCCGTGGTGCTTGTTCGCGATGCGGAAGGAGCAAACTTTCGTTCCCAGGGCGCGAATCTGCGGCGTGACCTCGACCAGAGTTTCATTCTCCTTGACCAGGCCGTGATATCCGCTCTCGAGGCTCTCCAGATCCAGTCGTGGAGCTGCGGAAACACGTGTATGCGATTGATCAGCCACCGCCGACGTCACCTCGTTTGCTGCGGAGGCGAAAAAGGACCGCCTCCTCAGTTTCCGGTTACGCTATTTCTAACGGGGGAGTCGCTAGAGTAACCGAAGCTCCTCGCGTTACTCGTCGGGAACCTTCGATTCGTTTTTCAAACCGTTTTTTTTTTCCCCCGGAGAAGATGAATAGCCCGATTTCGCCAACTCTATCTTTCGAAACGAGCGGCATCCGGACTATCCGCAGTGAGAATCTACGGTCCCTCGTTAAACACGTTAACGGGGATTCGAAAAAATCGGCATTAAGGTCAATTCGCGCATGAATTTACATAGTGGTATAAGCGTATCACCAATAAAACGCTCGGCACACACTGCTATATTGTTCTGTGATGATCCTGTTGGACGTTTTGATAGAGACGCTCTCGCGCTGTGTGTTTACCGCCGTTATGTAAATTCGCGCGCGCTTCAGTGATGCAGATTCTGAAATCACTGCCATTTTTAACGAAGCGTTAAAAATTAATGGACGAATTCAGCGTCGGTTGGGAAAATTCAGTTAACGTGCGTTCGAGAAAAGTCGGTCGGTAAAATTCACCTTTACCTCCTCCTTCGCCTCCTTCTCTTTCGCCTCCCCTCTCCCATCCGCATGTAACAAGCGAACTTTTTAATTAAGCACTGAAAAATATTTGGCGCGGGTTACGCGGTTTTAATCATAGAGAGAAAAAGGATTCGAAATTTGGTAAAAAAATGGGTTAAGTGAAATTAAAAGAGGCAGCAGCTCGTTAACTCCGTCGTCAACTTCTTCAACATACGGATAATGAGAAAAGCGTTAAACAACTGTATAGCGTAAGGAGAAACGGAGCGTTCGTTCTCGTTTATGTCCGCAACAGTGGCTCATAATTATGCTGTTAATTGCTAACACTGGCATTTTGAGCCGGTAGTCAACAACTAATATCCTCCACGTAAGTTTCTCGACACTGGTGTGACCCAGAATCACCAGATTACATTTGACGGACAGTTTCTGCGACCAGTTGCGAGTGAATTTTTCCTTGACGGAGATTTGACAGAGTTTCTTCGAGTTTAAGCAAGTTTAAGTTAAAATAAAGCAAATATTTTAGAAACGATCAATAATACTTTATCTCTAAATCTAGATTTTTATATGTCGTTTGATGTGAAGCTATCTTTAACAAAAATTTAAAAGATAAAATCTGATTAATTTTTAAATGTTGAAGTGAGACAATTTATTCTCTTTTATACAGCGAAGTGTCAATCTCGATTTTAGTTTTATCAAGAAGTTTATTTACAAAATATTAGACGCGTGCGTGATATGAGACACCTCGTTAAAAATATTCCGAAAATACTGTGACGATGATTGCACTAAAAATTTCAGTGTGAAAATTTAATTTAATGAAATTCGCTATGCTAAACTGGCGATTCATTTAACATCAGATTTCCATATATTTTCGAGATATAACTTTTCGTGTATATTTTAAGCCGAATAATTATTTATAGGCAGTATCTTTCGATCGCGGAAGTCAATTATGAAACATACGCATATGTTTCTCGATTATCTCGCAATTATCATTAAGCGGCGTCGGACGCGTCAAAGCTGACATTTTCCTTTATAAAAACACGCCTACGAAATAAAATCACGTATACCTAAGTATACCGTAGAATCCTACAATTACATTTTGCTAATAAAAACACGTACGAGAAGTTTGTACTATCAACACACAAGAATTTGTGCGCCAAGAATGACGTGAGAAATATCTACACGCGGTTTCTAGCAATAAAATCGACTATTATATAGATAAACTGGATAAACAAATGCACAAAAAGGATTGTTTGTAATAAAAACTCTTGATACTCGTCGCAGAAACTATAAGACATATTTCAAATACACTTTTCTCATTTAAACTACCAGATCTACCGCGTGAATAGAGATTGTCATAACGAATGAACATCGAACAGGAAAAGAGGATCTCGCGCTGCGGATGATATCGCTTAATTAACGCCCCGTCTCCCGTGGCAGTGGCAAAAGCTCAATCATCTCTCGTTAGAATATTCGGCGCAATCGGCGGGACATCTAATTTCATCGGCCGATAATTACAGGCCCGCTGATCGTTAATTAACTGCTCGTGTGCGAAATATACTTTGACGTGCGCGGCGTATTATCATGTCGGGGCATCGGGGCCGACGACGACGACGCTAGAATACATTCAATTATCGCGACATGCGAACCTCGCAATGTGGGCCACGATATCTGTATAGCCGCGGAGAAAGTATAATTCAAATATTGTCAATCGCAGCATTTGCAGCGTCGCGTCGTCGTCGTCACGTATCTCGTCCACGGAGGCGGCCCTTCTAATCTTAGCGGGGCGGGTGATTAGGGATAATTAACGATCCGCCGCCACGCGGGATGCATCCAAATATTTTTAAACCTGCCCGTAACACGATCCCTCTCTCCCTTCTTCTCTCTTTCTCGGGAGATGCGACGGGAATATTAAATTCACATCACTTTAACTCCGTCAGTCTTCGCTCGAAATCAGTCTAATTTTACCCCGGGACTTCTCTTTCTCTCTCTCTGTCTCTCTGTCTCGAATGTGATTCACACCTAGTTCGTTATTCCGACAAGCATGACTAATACCGTCATTCGGTGAACGATGGTAATCGAGCCCCGGCTGATCGCTGGAGGGGTGCGAGCCCCACTCGCGCGCGAAAAGTGCGTTTAATTAAACCGGATGGAGTTGCGTAAAACGTAAGGTTTCCGAAATATAGGCGCGAGACGCGCGCTATTTAGCGCGCCGAGTGAGAAGTCGGCGAATAAACAAGGTAGAACCGATGCATAAATAAAGTTTAACGACGTTGGCGACGTAAATACAAAATATAGAGAAACTTGTAAATTGCTGCTAAAGAAACGTACGGAGCGCAACGTCAGGCAACAACGTGTTGTCGCGCGTATACCGCGGTATAAAAAGACGGATCGATCATTATTTTTCTCAGGTATCATTATCGATTCGTTTACCGTCGCGCGTCTTTTATCGCCCCATTCATACTTTTGTTTACATCAAGTTCAGGTCCAGGATAGCGTAAAAAAAAGAAACTGCAGTCGATCGCGCAGATCAGATGCGACGCGAGAGAAGAGAGCCGTATTTAACGCGGACGAAAAAAGTGACGCGACGCGGCGTCGTCCCGTTGTGCCCCTCTTTTCAGCGGCGGGCGACCTCGTGCCGCATCGAAACGTATTTTTCAATGATTTTATTGTCGCTCGTACGAACGGGCGAAATGAATTTCACCGGGATTTTGCATAAAACGGTTATTCCCGTCGTCCCGCGAATTTGGGCGCGTTAACGCGGCAACGCGCGTCGGCTAAAATCCCGAATTTCTCTCACGGCGCGACGTCGCGTAGAATCAACCGGTACGTCAATTATCCCGGACTCCGGACGGCGACGAAAGATCAGAACGAATTCGTCGCGGCGCGGCGAATCGATTTCAGACCTTTTCGAGACGCGAAAGGTCTCGGGGAAAGCAGAGGATTTTACTCCGAACTTTTCCAGCGTCCCGACACCTTTTTCGTTACGTCACGCGAAGACCCCCGTGAGAGCCGTCGGGGGATATCAACAATCGAGCGCGGTCGGGCCAAATGGTGCGTTTGGAGGGCCGTCGGCGGTCTCTTAATCTCTTAACGGATTCCCCCGCATTTTTCCGTTCTTCCGTTGCCCGTTTTCTCGCAGGTGAGAGAGAAATCGCGCGACGGCGGAGGGTTAACAGCCGCCTTTCTTTCCTCGCCCGTTTCGCGCCGCGGCGGTGGCGGCGGAGGTGGCGGCGGCGGTGACGGCGGCATATCGACCGGGTGGGCGCAGTGCAACGTTCAACTCGTCGTACCGTGGCGTGTAATACAACGAGAGACGGGGCACAGGCACGCACACGGTCAATGGGTTCGCCGTAGCACAGCCTCGACGGGCCGCAGGTGCTGTTATCGCCCGTCGCACCTGCGTGCCGCGCCGCGCCGCGCCGCGAGGCGCCCCAACGTCGTCTCCGACGGCGTCGAGATTCGGGAGAAAACACGCGCGCGTACGCGATCGCGACGGCGGCGATGCCGGATGCGCTCGCGGGACCAGGTAGACGGGTAACGAATGTAGGACACGACGCGGCGACGGCAGCGGTGGCGGCGAGACCAGGCGAACGCCGGGAGAAAGGGAGAATTGGGAAAAGAGAACCGAGAGTCACCTCCATGATCGAAGAAGCTCGAAGGTGTCGACTCGAAGGCCGCGGCGATGTTCGCGTGGGTGAGCCCGACGCACAGGGCCAGCAGCCCGCAGAGCAGCGCGCCCGTCGTCGCCTGCGGCAGCAGCATATTTCCTCCGCGCCTCCTCGTTCTCGTTTTCCTCCTCGTCGTCGACGTCGTCGTCACGGGATCGTGTTGCCTGGCCGCGCGCGGCGTGGCTTACGAGGCACCCACCGTACTACGCCGACTTCAAACGCGCCTCTCTCGCACTCTCCCCGAGTCCTCGACTCTCTCTCGGCGGATCGTAACTCGCAACGTCTCTCACTCGCGCGCGCACTTCGGAGTACACTTCGCTTTTTAAAGGAGCATCGCCGACTGACTGCACGGGACACGGACGGACTCTGTCGCGCGCGCGCTCGCTCACTCGCGGACGGCACACCGCACACACAATCGCGGAGTCAATATTTGAGCGGAATATCGATTCGCCGGAGTCGGGAGAGAGAAAGAGAGAGAGAGAGGAGAGCCAGTGCCGATTCTCGCCGCGCTGCCCCGGGGCGGCGCTGCCGCCGTCGGCGCGCGACACCTCAAGCCCCGTTCACACGAGATCTCTCCGACGGAACGCGAGCGTTCTGCGCACTGCGCAGCTTCCGAGACCCGTGCGATTTATCAAACCTTCCGAATCAACCGGTATTGTCTTTAATGAAGTATCGCGAAAAGTAGCGTAAAAGTCGCGAGTGCTGTAAAAAATTGATGGGCTTTATTTACAAATTTTCAGCCACCATCTTTGAAATGCGTTACACACCTCGCGTTACATGGTTTACAAAGTTATTAAGTCAATTAAGTAATGGGTGTTCATGCGCGTTTAATAAAAACTTTGATGGCAACACGTTCGTGTTTATTGTTAACAATTTATTACGCAGATATAAATGTACGTATTGTATTACAAAAATATAACAGATGATTTATACATGTAATTACCCTTCTTACCAATTTCTTATCGAGTCGCGTTATTTAATATACAAAAACATTCCATTACAATGACTTTTGGTTGTCTCAAACGCTTTCCATTATTCACTCTAGAGCTTATTTCTAGGTTCATCATTTCCGAGCGTTATCTTCGAAATTTTTCCAGGTACCGGGAACACCACGCTATTATCTTCACCATTGTCAGTGAAAATTATGTTGAATCTCGTGTCAAGAAATTCCATTCTATTCTTTACCGGGGTTATCCTCGCTAATTCATCCATGGTGATCTCCGACTTGTCGATCACCTGTTTCTCCAGCAAGCTAACTTCCTTCGGGTACATCGTGTCTCCAGGTAAGACGTGCACAACGCCATCCTTCATGAGCATGCGCACCTGAAAATATATTTATTGCGACAACGAGATGATATACGTTCTTGCGATTATTCGTGATTTATATATTATATATTAATGGAATACTATTTAACTTACGTACCGGCAAATAGAACTGCATGCCTTCTCTATCGCGTTCCACGGCGATGTCCAGGAGATCGTCGATATTTTTAATCTTGGTCAACCTGGCGATCTCGCACTGTTGCGGCGGTGGAAACGTGATGCCCGTTGAGCAAAGCCTTTCCGGGGTGTCCCACTAAATTCGATTTCCAGTGAATTAGTTCTCACGGGAGGTGCGCGCGCTATCGCGACCCATTGTTCAAAATATCTCACTTTCAGATCCTCCATTTCCACGGCTTCGTATTCGGCGTGCGGCACGTACGGCATGCAAGTCAAGTAGAAGGCGGTGTCGTACCGTTTGTCGTACGTGGTCGTGGGTGTCAACCAATTCCTCCATTCGTGCAGCGCCCATAAATCCGGATGGCACTCCAGTTTCCGGCAGAGATTGAAGAATTCCGTCGCGTCGTTGTGGACCTTGGTCCGCCACGTTTGCAGCTCGTCCTCGGGAACTGAAAGTTTACCCGACGAATGTTAATATTCGCGACAAACTGACTAATTAGATTTCCCTCGATTTACTTACTCGACACGTGCTCGGCCCAGCCGGCGGGAGCACCGCTGTCTCGGTTGCGTCTGCAGATCAGGATTCCGCACTCCTCGAAGGTCTCGCGAATCGCCGTGATTCGCAGCGAGACCTCTCTGAGCAGCTCGTTCTCCCTCGAACGAAAGATCTGCGGTCGCGACGGGGTCCTCGCCGTCCTCGGCACCAGAGACACGAGCCTATCGTTGTCCAGGCCGAAGGTAGCGAAGTACTCGCGCCATTTCAGATTGGCGTCGGCTGGGTCCACCGTGCCGCCCGGGAAGACGTACAATCCCGGCATGAAGCTCGACTTCTGATGACGCTTCAGACATAGCAGCTGGTAATTGTGCTGGAAATCATATGTCGCCTGTAGCCTCGTCTAATCCCGAGCGAGAACGCCTCTCGACAGATATGTCGATAGACGTTAATTAAACGAGCCGCGTGTACACGTCGCGCCTTACAAAAATCGATACGATCGTAGAGAAAAGGCTTTAAAAAAGTGCGTTGTCGTTAGTGCTGTGTCAGCAAGTCGGATAGTCAAGTTCTTTCATCATTCTCGTTCTACGTCACGGAGATGGAGTCGCGAGGTAGAGCGAGAAAACGCCGATCGAGTCTTCGTCAGGCGTACTAAAACGCATACGGTTTGCGTATAATTTATATGTACTTACGACTGCAGGAGACACCGCGCGACTGTACGTCTGCCCGTGGCGTGCTGCTAATATCAAACTCGCTGCGTCCTGCCAAGCCTTCATCCTCTCGTGATTTAATTCTGCCGCACGCGAGGTCGAATCACCGCGGATCCACTGGCGAAAATCTAATGAGAAAATCCTACTGCCGAATATCGTTATCGAATTAGACCGCGAACGTCGTCACGATAAATTACACCACGCCACGATAATAAAATTCAGTTTTAAATCGCGAACTCGGCCCATTTAGCGACGAAAGAACCGAAGGAAGAACCTCAATGTTGTCTTGTTTAAACGATCTTTTTATTACGTTTATATTGTGTTTGTATATGGCATTTCCTAATTTTATTTTCTTAATTTTATTACCGTTTATAATTATCGTTGTACACTATTGTATGCCATGTTCTCGCGAGTTGTACCAGCCACTCTGTCACTCTTATCTATCGTTATTGAGTAACAAACCAATATGACTGCAACACTGCAGCTTTGCTTATCATTTTTCCTAATTATTTTCTTAATTTTATTACTATTTATATTTATCGTCCTACACTACACAGACTACACTTCTCCGTTCGCCTTTCGCACTTAATAAGTTCCCTACACTCCACAGTGTGATTGTCGGGTCGATTTGGGTCGGTGGGGGAAATCGAGTTTATTACTTTATTTGCATTTCACGACACAATAAACACAATTCCCAATCCCAATCGCGCCGAGGATCTCCGGATGGAGTATGGAGTTCCGGGCACGTAGGCGGTAGGCTACGTTTTCCCTTGCTTGCCGTCCGGCTTCCCCGTCGCCGCGATCATCAGCTCGTACAGCTGGCACACCTGTTCGTCCCGCAGCTTTACGAGCTCCTCCTCCTTCAGATATTGCCCGAGCGGCCGTCCCGTATGCGGGCCCCTCAGCCCGAGCTGCTCAGCGAGGGACACCGCGTAATTCTACGGAGAAGGGAAATCGCTAATCGCAACGTCACCGTCACCGTCGCGTCGGGGCCTCGCTCGTGCGAACATAACCTCGCGTCGCGCGCTCGCACGACGGCGACGGTCGGCGCGCCTCTAGTCAGTCTAGGTTACTTACGGTCCACTCGTGGAGGAAGACGATCGCCTCGCTCTCCACGCAGTTTTTATGTCTCCGGAACTCGTCGCGGACGTAACCGTCGCCCAGGGGCCGGACCTCGGCCGGCAGGCCGCGATGTAACCTCAAAATCGTCTTGTACAACATCCTGACGCGCTGCACGTGCGTCCGGGAGGCCATGACGCGCGTTAACACGCGCTTGCGGACACGGCGCGGTTATAATGGTTATATTCGTCGCTTTTCATCGATCCCGCTTTTATTCTATTGTTAATCGTTCGGCCTAACCTCGCTAATTGTCGCGAATCTCGGCTCTCGGCGCGCCGTATCGATCCCCGACGCTGGCCTGCGGCGCGATTTTTTCGAGGAAATTTTGGCATCCCGTCGGCGAAAACGCCTGGGTGAAAATCGACCTCGACCGTCGGCCGTCGGCCAAGTCAATTCTGGCAGACACTGTCCGCCGACGTGATATTTTAATGAGTCAGCCGTAGACCTCGCGGATTCTCGTGTATTATTTGTAATAACTTAAGCCGGCTTATAAACGAGATTGAACATTGAACTCGTTATTACTATTGAGAGAGCAAAGCCGAATGTTTATCAGTATTTCAGTGACAGACAAGAGCCATGCGTGCATTTATTGAAAAAATCTTCCCTTCTTTCACATCATATTCTTTCGTATTCTTTATTTATATTTGATTAGCAATTTAACTTATTTTTTACAAAAAAAATAAGCATGAGCGAAAAATGCATATACATATATTATTCTTACTTATGAATATCTACAGGTCCTTACAAATAGATTTAAGTACTTAAAAAACGATTATACAGGACGAAAATTGGACAATATTAATAGCACAATTGTTGAAGACTGTCTTAATTTATGCAAATTGAGCAACCAGGTCCAATCCAAGATAATGCAAATCGTTTTCCGCACCCGATTAGAATATCGCCGAAACTTAATTGGCGTGTCGCTTGTGGTGTTTCCACGCTCTTGCTCAGACTAGTTATCCTCGGGAGATCTGGCGTCTTGAATTTCCTATAAATTATAAATTGAGTATAAATAAGAAATTTACATAAAATGTTCAGTAATAAGGAATAAAATTTTAGGTAGAGTAAGAAAAAAAATGAGTTTTGAAAGTCAAACGCAATTAGCTATGCGTGAGTTAACATTTAAGTTACTTAACATTTGATAACAATTCAACACGATGTTAAATCGCGCGTTTCGGCTCGACTACTTTGAACTATCTTTAACGAAACCAGTAACGGGTAAATTAAATAATCTCACGCTCTTTGACGAGCATTAGGTGAGCACCTCAAGATTAAATGGATAAAGACAATGTAATCTTCACGAGAAAATACTAGTAAAATTTTGCTAATGTTTATAATCTGCAATGATTGAAGCAAAAATAAAAGTTGGGTCTACCAACAAAGAGAAGTAAAGTCAATTCATCAAAATCAGTCCAGAGAACATGAGAATGACAAATTGTTTATAATTGCTAAGTTGAATTGTTAATTAAATGTTAAATAATGTTAACTCACGCTTGGCTAACGGCGTTTAACTCACAAACCTCACTTTTTTCTTTATTACATGTTAATTTTAATGTTGTTATTAATATCGGAAATCTTTAGTTAAATTATTTATTTATTTAAATTGTATATAAATTGTTAAATTTTCGCTCCATTCTGCTCGTAGGCTTTTCATATTGAATTGCAAAAGTTGTGTGACAATACGAATAGAGACGTTCCGCCAGTTTGATATAAACTAACATCTAAAATTTTTCCGTAGAAAAAGACGAAGATTCCATTACGTGGGACTTTCCGTAAACCGAATTTAAATCTTTGTAATGATTTCCAGCGTCGTAAATGCAACTTTGAGATGCGGCCCAAGATTCTTTGATACAGTCTTCCAAAAAGGTGGATCGAGAATCGCGCGATAAGATAAAACTTTTGAGATATGCAAACAGTTTCTCACCCACCCGATTCCTTCTTTCTCCGTACTTGGACCAGAATGTGACCTTACAGGTAGACTTTTGCCCGGTCTGCTTGTTGAAAACTGAGCACGACGAGAACGGCGGAGAGTACAGATGCAGGGAGACCGCAGGATTCATCGCACTTGGATTTTCAACGCGATGCAAACCCAGCGAATCTTGAACGGTAATTGAATTAAAAGATTTGCCCTCGAAATTTCATTTCGCGATTATTTTGCGTTTACGAAAGTGCGATCAGACTTGATATCCATGCAGCAAAAACAAATCATGTACAGTAAGGCGCATTAATTCGATTCGGGTCACAGAAGTCTGACTTTTTAATTAATTTACTTTAATAATTATTAAAGACTCAGCAGCCAAGTCAGAATTCTACGACCCGTTGAATTAATGTACCTAACTGTACGACAAGTTCCCAAGTTTCGAGGAAGCTGCTCATTTATCGCGTATTGAATATGTGAAACTTGTCATCTGCGGCTTAATTAAAAGTCATACCATTAATGTAACAGATCTCGTTCGTATCAAGCGTGTTCCTCTCGAGTTCCTTGAGCTCCTCCAAACCATTTTCCGTCTCGGATCCCGCGGGCCACGCGTACCTCGTCTAAGAAGCAACGTACTTTAATATATATTGATTTTATATCGCATACGTATAACACGCGGTCTGTGAAATAGCTCTCAATAATTATCATAGGCAGTAATTTTCGTACCTCGCACAGTTTCCCTTGAAGGACTTTCATCACACAGTGCGCGTTGGCATGATCGTGTATGGCTGACCCATGACCTTCCCCCCAGCACAACACCATGAGATTGAACCTGCCGTTTCCTTCGTCAACTAGGTTCCTCGTATATCTACGCACAAAACATTATGTGTTACAACCTAACGTTTTTCCTTAAAAAATCGACCGGTATCCGACCGGTCAGAATTTTTTAATTCCTCCGACCTTTCGAAAATCTCGGCACAAGTTTTGTGCACATTTTAAATGCGCACACACATTAAACAATTATTACGCATACCGATTTTATCAGATATTCAGATATATACAAACGCTCGACTCGAATAGCAAATTTATAGCTATCTCGATCCATCTTAATTGACAATTAGATATACATATTTACCGGTTTAAATTGTTAATTCGAATCTGGTGGATTTAGCATGAGAACTTATTATGAAATCAGCTTCTGAAATTAACTCGAATGATATTGCAGCTCGGAATCGAAAACTAGTCTAGTTAACCGGTTACTATAAATTTCAACAAAATCGCTCGCAGTCAATTGATTTATTAATTCACGTAAAACAGAAAGAAAAGTTGCTTTATGCTAATTTCATAAACTTTCAAAAAATATTTTAGCTAAAATGCTACTAAAACTTAAAGAAATTATGCTCAATATAGTTTGGATTATTTTAAAACACCGATATTAAGGCTCCTGGTCCCTACTGATGCTGTCCTTATTTAATGACGTCAGCAGCGAGAAATGACACGTTGAAAATTCTTGCATAGTATTTCCGAATAAAAAGATATTTGCACAAAATAACACTTTAGATCACTTCAGTACACTTCAAAAATACTCCGAGTTTTATCCATTTTCCCTGACAGTTAATAAGCAGTCGTAAAATGAATGTAATGCAAAGCCTAACCATACAGGCTTATGCGCCTGATTTGGAAATACTATGCAAGAATTTTCAACGTGTTATTTCCCGCTTCTGACGTCATTAGATAAAGGCAGCATCAGTAGGGATTAGGAGCCTTAATACGATTTAAACTTTCTAGTCGAAAAAAATAAAGAAAATTTATTTTCTCAAAAAGGCCAACCATTTAAATTTAGATTGTTCCGCATTAGGGTTTTCATAGGGTTATTAAATAATTATCAACACTTTTCGTAACATATATTTATATATTTTATTAACAATGGACTTATCATCTCAGAAGGAAGACAATATTCATGCTTTAACATACAAGAGTGCACAATTTACGAACCGGTGCGGTGATCTGCGATTCCAGCAGCGAATGCAAGGTTGCTGACTCCATCAGAGCGAATATAATTTGAAAGTTTCGATGTTTCGCACGGCATGCGTTTCGTTCGTATTTTTTTTTTTTTTTTTTTTCATGAGTTGTCATGCGATGTACAGATACCAATGTTCTCTGGATTGCGCAGAACGCAAACACGGGGAAGGGGAATATATGCGTGGAAAGTACACATAACCAACTGACTATTCACCGGTCGATCGCCTCTGGGTGTTTATCGCTGCTCTAATTCCTGATGTTAAATAACATCTTTAAATATCAATATTTTATATCTGCTTAAGAAAAATATAATTTTCAAAATAATTGAGAGAGAGAGAGAATTACGTTATTTTCATTTTATCCAATATTAATATTTACTATTTATAATTTTATCTCAATGTCTCTCAGTCTTATTTAAAGAACATTCTCTCATGCAACGTATCAAAATATCTCCAAATCTCTCCATTTAAATATATATGAGTATTGATTTGTAATATACTAAACGAATATTTTTAACACGCTCGCTGGTACAAGTGTTCTTCATCGCAATGCATATGAATGAAAACGTTGAAAATAAAAATCCGAAGCGCACTAAAACAATTTTGTTATGCTCTGTTTCGAAAATAAAAAAAAATTTCCGCTTGTAAAAGATCGTCATACTTTTCGTCTTTACAGAGACGGGTTTTTGTTCTCTCACAAATCACAAATTACTTTGTTGACATGATTTGCTGTATCGTCAACAATTTCCGTAAACCATAAATTGCACATTTGCCTAACGTAGGATCGCTAAAAGCGTTGAACAATATGATAATCCGTTGAAGTACAACGCCGAAAAAGTGTTTACCTTTCTAACGGCCTTTCATAAGAACGATCTCGGTAGAAGGAATATTTGCCAGTCCTGCCACGCGCGGCATTGCGTTCTACTTCGTGTTGACATTTTTCTTCTCTCAAATCATTAATTTTAAAATTACTTCGTTGATATAATTTGCTGTATCGTCAACAACTTCCATAATCTACAAATTGCACGTTCGCCTACGTAAGATCGCTGAAAGCTTTGAACAATATGATAACCCGTTGAAGTATGACGCCGAAAGTGTTTATCTTTCTAGCGGCCTTTCGTAAGAACGATCTCGGTGGAAGGAATATTTGCCTGCCACGCGGCATTACGTTCTACTTTGTGTTGACAGCAAAACCGGTAAACGTGCACCGTAGTTTCAGTACTTTCCCGAGTCACGTGGATCCCCGGCTACTGCACACAGTAATTCCACCTGCGTCCAAGGCGCTCGTTATCTCACGAACTCGTAAACTCATTTTCGTTCCTATTTACGGTCCCTCATCTAATCAAGAGCTGCCGAGATGTACCTGTATTATGTTATCGTTGCTAATTATCAATGATGTGCAACATTATCAACATTAGCAACGCGTTAAATTACCTGTTTGCGATAATACGCGATAACATAATACGCACATAATATACATAATATGATGAAAGAAAAAACAGTAAAAAGTTGAGAAACTTCTCTTCTGAGAAAAAAAACATAAAAATTTTCGAGTTTTATTAGCGGTTTGTGTGTTCTCGAATGTCTAAAACGTTTGAAAATTGCACGCAACAACTATCTCTGCGCTAAGTAAAACGTTATATCTCCGCTCTGAATATGAAAATATGAGTTACATCGTCCAGTTCGTTGTAACATGTTCACGGAGATAACATTGTCGGTGGTGCCTAATAATTCTAGAACATTCTCTCTCTTTCTGCCTCTGTTATCGGACGAATATGAAGACGAATATGGAGATACGTCCAGATCGCGCGTAATAAATAAGCTAATCTAGTTATCGTTATACATGTGTGTAATACGCATCCCGGTAAATAAAGCTGTGGGACACGAGAAAATTTCCCTTCTGATTCGAAATTTATCTCCGCGTATCCTTAACTTTATGAGATAGCTAACGAGATTATTAGTTAGTTAATTATAAATAATTTTAATCTGATACAAAATGTCATTTGCCTTGGGAACTTTCCGTCTCCTCCGACATTTCCTGACATCAGTCACACTCAGCATTTCTTTGTAAACACGATGGTTTTTCCTAAGATTACCATGTAATACATATATTCCTCGTTGCGTTCTAAGTTATCTATTATTTACGGCAGTCATGAGATCGATGGAGATCGGGAAAAAATTGAAGCGATGATACGATTCCATTAGCACATATCTGACGTATTTTTTCCGTCTGATGATCATTAAATGGCGATCATCTACTCATCTACTCCTATCACAAATGCAAGGTGACGTTACGGGTCACTTCAGAACAAGGTTTCTAAATTGTTTTTATGTTACGCGGAGATACCAGAAACAGAGAGAGAGAGAGAACGAACGGAGAACAGGCAGTCGATAACCCATTCTGAACTCCGTCATGTTAATTTCATTTCACAATTCCGCATTGCGTTGTATTCGCTCTATTTACACACCCCAAATGTGTTGATCGGTGAAAATATTTGTTTCCATCATTTAGTTATCAAGCGCACATCGTCCATTGACGCATTTCTCCGGAATGTCCCTAATTGACCGTTACCGTTATGCGCTGATTATGTTTGCAATAGTACCGTAATTATCGATGCGTAATTAGCTGATAGCTAATGAAAACATTTCCGTATGCACGCCACAATTCTCATTGCGCATTAACAAGTTGTGCAATTACATCAGATGTATTCTGTAAAATCGCGGATCAAGCTTACCAATTACGACCTTGAAAGTGCTGATATACATAATTTTATTTTTGGACATGTAAATAATGTAATGGGCATTGTTAAATTTTTAATTCCTTTAAGTCCCTGCGATTAATCACCGAGATTTTTTGATCAATTGATAATATTTTTCGTGATTTACTATACTATTATATTATCATTACTATTATACAGATTGTTTAAGTATTTTTTCATGTATATTAATAATTTATGCATATTTGAAACAACCGTACACAAAATTAAGACGACATACAATCTTTTTAGGTATTTTTTATAATAGTGATAGGTATAACATCTGTTGCATTTTACGTCTAAACGACATGAATCAATTTATATATTAAAAAATATATAAAAGGAATGTGTTTCGTCAAATGCTAAGGTTTTGCGTAGGTTTCGCATGTAAATTATTAAATGTCAGATACCTGTATCTGTCGAACTTGGCGAATTTCTTCCACTCTATGGGATTGCTCTTGTAGCTCATCATCAGGTCCTGAACGTGATCGATATTCACATGATCCGTCTCGAAGGCTTCGTGCAGCGCATTTATAAGTTCCTGCAGGGTGGAAACTTTCTCCCGGCGGAGTTTCTCCCCGTTCTCAACGAGGCGCGACGCTTTTCCGCGCGGCACGTCGTACAGTCGGTTCTCTCGGTTGCAAATCTCCATTTTTCAGCCACCGCGGTATCTCCGTCACTTCGGCGATTCTATTCAATCGGCAAAAGTTTTTCTCTGCTTTCCCGCGAGCACCGTGGAGGGACGTGCGATCGCACCGCGGGGAGCCTTAAACACCGTAAACACGTGAACGTTAAAATGCGAGCCTTGACTCGTCGCGGCTCTGACTCGTAGATTATGGCGCGGCTTCGAAAGCGAAGGGAAGACAAGAGATTTATACGGACGTCTTCAAGCCTCTACACGCCAGGCACTAACTGCGCGAACGTACTAATCCGTACTACCTCGCTGTCTTTGCTCGCCTACAGCCGGTACCGGTCTAGTACAACGCGGATACAGCATCTTATATGCAGTGCAAGGTGCCCCCTACTCCAGCCGATCGTCCGAGCGGCGTCAACGTTTTGTGAACTTCCCGCTCTGTAGGGTACTTTTCAGCTTTTGTCAATGAAAAGATTCGAGCTAGATTTATTACGGTCCTATTCTTGAAAGAGGATACTTAAAGGTGCCGAAAGTTCAAAGATTTATTGCTGCATTTTTCTGTTTTTATTGTTATTCTCTCGTATTAACGTTTCCAAATAATTCACGAAGAGAATTTTCTCTTAGAATTTACCCTGAAATCATGGTAGTTGTAGGACAACATATATCCACCAAGAATTTTATGCGAGCTATTCTGATTAATATCTACCATAATAAAAAGTATTAATATCTATTACATTAAAATATAAAATATGTTTGATTAATTTTACTAAAATATATCTAAAATTTCAATAATTTTTCAAAATTTACCAATCTGCTTGGTAATTTTTATCACGTTGTTTGTAAAATGTCTTTTGCGCATACGTTTATTTTTTAATTATAAATAATTAACAATTTTGTTGTTAACTTTGTTAACTTAAAATCGTTAATGCTATTATATACAATTTTTTATGAGCAACAGGAAAATACACCTAAATAAAGCTATGACTCTTTTATTATATATACAAAAGATGATATACAGTTCTGCTATTTTTATACTTTCTAACATCTTTTATATATATATAATAAGAGTCATAGCTTTATTTCTGTGTATTTTCCTGTTGCTCATAAAAAATTGTATATAATATAATAGCATTAACGATTTTAAGTTAACAATGTTAACAACAATTTTGTTAATTATTTATAATTAAAAATTAAACGTATGTGTCTTGAAAGAGAGAGAGAGAGAGAGGCGATAAAGAGAAGCGTATATAATAAATAAATAAATAAATAAATAAAAATATATATAATATATAATTTATCGAATAGTTCAGAGAGTAAAGTTATTAAATATCAGACAAATATTCTAAATACGTCATCATATTAATCAAATTTTGATATTTATTAATCGCATAATGTGACAATCATTAAAATAGCATTAATGATTTTCTTGCATTTCGAAGTTATATATATGTGCTTTTCAACATACAAGATATATATAGCTGAATTCTTATCTTATACGACCCGAAGAAGTATTACAGTTAGCAATCTATATCATGCAAGGATATTACGAAATTTAAACTACTAAAACATTCTATCCATTTTAGCAAAATTAATATGAGTCGCAAATAATATATGTGTGATTTATTCATTTAAATATTCAATATTAAATAATTAATATTATATAGATATGCATATAATTAGGTTAAGCTGTAAAAATAATTTTTGTACTACAGATATTTTTACCATTAGAGTGTTCAGAAAAAAAATATTTGTCACATACGCCGGAAGTTATTTGAGATGTAATCCAAGATATTCTTTCTCTCTCTCTCTCTCTCTCTCTCTCTCTCTCTCTCTGAAGTTAATCATGAACCTGACAAGGCAGATATTTTTGAGGAAAGTCGCGCAGCATTCGTGTACTATTTTATCACCCTGTTCTATTACTGTTCTATATTCAATTACAAAATCGAACATGTGTGAATTATTTACTTAACGATATGTTAGTTTTTTGGGGTGAAACGTCATACAAATCAGGTCAAGAAAGATATGAATAAAGATATAAATAAGGAAATATCTAATCCGTTAATATTGTGAGAGCGTGGAAATATTAATATTTAAATATTTTTATTATTTCTCTGTGTTTTTAGTACTTGTCTTGGCATTTTACACAAACTATACACTATCGTTATATTTATCTTGTCATTTGTCTGACCATTGATCGCAAGTATTACTAATTAAACGTCACTTACCTTTCTGTATCTGTTTCCCAGATTGGTAAAATTCTTTTTGTCTGCTTTCGTTCAGTGAATCATCGCACCTGCGCGGCTTCGATTATTTCACTGTAATGCAGCTGCAGCAAAGAATGTAATAAACAAGCAACAATAGGAAATGCGCGTATGGGCCTCATTGGGCCCGATGAGGCAAAGCGCAAAGTCGTTAATAGTAGTATTCGGTTATTTACAAAAAATCTCCATCATTCAAATAGAACCGATATAAGATATTGACGACATTGCATAAAAAATGTCTGTTCTACTCACGTGCAAGGCAGACTCTTGCAATAATAACACTTAGCCAGCGGTCTCTTATGGTTGAATCTGTCTTTTCTACATTTGCACGGTGTTAGTCTACAAGTGCAGCCACTATGTCGGATTGGTATCGACTTTTGAATGGTGCTTTTATATACCTTTCTCGATTTACATCGGCAATTATTCGATGACTTGTTTCTAGGTGGTCTTTCTATTTCAGCGCGTCTAAACAACGATACAAAGATAGTCCAGCACAAGTATTTGATACTAGGATAACTATAGATAAGCTTCAAGCAGGAATTATTTGCTACTTTTGATCTATTAACAAAGAATTTTTCTATAATAAATGAAAATTGACTAAACAACACAAATAAATAAAAATATGCTCTATTTCGGCTAAATCTTTGCGCCAAGCCTTTTCAGAGTCTGTCTGATGCACCCTTATTTAAACAAGTAAAAAAAATCTTCGTTCAAGTAAATATATAGTAAAAGGTTCTTTTATATACTTGACACGATTCTCAATTTTTCCTTCTTCCTTTCTCTTATCTTGATTGACCAGCGATCTACAACAGCAAGGATTCCTCCAGCATCGTGCGCAGCATACGGATTCGCTCATCTTCTGCTGTAGTTCGTTCATCACTTCCGAGAAAATGTTTAACCGTTGATAAGGTAACTCCTCGGGACGTTGTCGCTTCGGCTTTTCGTAACACTGACATTCTTCGGTGGAATACGACCGAAAGTCCTCGGAGTTCCTCGCAAAATACCGCCTGATTTCCCTTTTTGGCTTCCAGCTGGTGACGCGAATCGTTCGATTCTCATCCGGTCTTCTGGCAATCTGTTCATAATCACGAGCGTGACCCTCGTCGTCTGGACAATTGCAAACATCTGACGGCAACCCGCAATACGAACACTTCCCGATCGGTCCTCTGCACGTGCATTTGTCTTGAGGATTATCACAGTACAGGCAAATCATTGTCCTCTTGCGGTTGCGGCCTTCCTTGATCTTGTGGCACCTTACCAGAGCGAATGTAGCACAACAACATTGATTTCTCGGTTTGCCGCAGTTAATGCAGCTCGCTTGTGATCCACACCTATCGAGAATGTTTCGGGAAATCATGACCAAGAGATTTACAAATCTATATTGAAGGATTATTTTTATCTCGGAATTATAATTAAAAAATATATCGAAATACTTAATTAATAAATATTTGCTAATTTGTATTTCATAAATGTATTCTTCTGAAATTATATAATACCGTATAGAAAATCTTATATTATTGTATCCCTTACTTGCATTTATTATTAATTCTTGAACAATTTCCACGCGTTACACACCACCTGCATTTGCATTCTTCATGAGAATGGCAACAGATCGTCGTTTTTCTAGACTTGTGTTCTTCCCGCTCTTTGCAACAACTCGTGCAGATACGCGAATTGATCACCCTTAAAGGTGATACATCACGAAATTTCGTTTTATCGATCTTCAAGCAACGTTTCAGATGTGGTGCGCAGGTGCATTGCATCGTCGATAAACGGCAACGCGTGCAATAAATTTTCTTCCGTTCGAATCTATTATCTTCGCACGGACCATCTTCGATAATGTTATTGCACTTTGTGCATTTGACAATGGAACATGAGTAATTATTCAAACTGAAAGCTAATTCGCGTTTACAAAGCGTGGATTTTTGTGGCTCCTTTTCCGATTTCTTCTGCGAGCAGGGCACATGGTCTTTCACACACTTGACAATTGAACACGAACGAGCACTCGGGTCGGAAGGTAGACCGCATTTACAAAGAATAGGCTTTTGTGACTCTTCTTCTGGTTTCTTTTGCGGGCAAGTAACATAAATCATTGTTGTTTCATCTCGAATATCTTTGGGAAGGTCTCTATCTTCATCAGCAACATCTTTTGGAGCGTCTTCAACACTTGTTTCAATTGTAGCAACACTCATCTCAAGCGCAATTGAGTCATCCGCTTTTATTTCTTCCGCGATCTCTGCAGGAGTATGTTCCTGTGAAATTACCTTTTCTTCTGGAATTCTTTCTTCTTCTTTTTCCTCTTGGTCGACATGATTAATTGTGATTATTTTAGCAGGAACAGATACTATTTCAGGCTCTTGGACTTTAGAATCAGTTGTCATTGTAGCTGGTAGAACATGTGATCTCTTCGCCGCGATGATACGCAGTAATTTAGGCATTGCTTGATCCGTTCTTTGAATATCTATCTTTTTCCCTGTGTCAAAAATTGTAAAATCAGTTATTGGTACAATCGGTTTTGATCTCACAAAAATATTTCTAATTATTTCTACAGGTAAAATTATTATTTTTAAATTAAATGCGCATTAAATTAATAGTGCTTAACGATAATTTTTATTTATACATTAAGATACTGTGTTATATTATTATGTGGTATTTAAATTTTAATTTAAGTAATGTTTCTTAGTGTAAGATGTTGCAGAAAATTTACGAAAACAATATTGAAAGTTTTGTAATTAAGTGTAAGTTGAGTTAATTATAATTTATTAATTATGATCAATTGTAATTTATTAATAATTTACCTTCGTTTGCAATCTCTGTTTGTGGTGATTTCATTGGTATAACCACTTTTTCAATAATCTCTTGCTGATCTTTTATATCACCAGTTTTATTTTCGGTTTCAAAAATATCGTCTTTTTTATCACCAGTGATTATTTTTCTCGCTTCAATTTTTCCCGTTTCTATTCTATCTGTAACGAGCGTCCTGCCACGTCTAATTACGTCAATTAATTTTTTAAACGATCGATGTAAAAGTGGCTCTTTCTGTTCGTGCTCAGTGGTTCCCATTTCTTTTGAAATATCTTGCCTCTCTTCTTTTTCTTTCGAGTTTTCTTGCGTTTCTTCTTCCAGTTGATCATTTTTGTTTGACGTTAAATTTTGCGTAAGATTATTCGATCGTTGAGAGTAATTTCTCATTGATCGATTAAGTGATCGCATTCTTTGCTGATTAACAAGAGTCTTCGATGTTTCCTTTACATTGGAATTCGAGACAAGATTCGAACGATCATAATCGTTTTGCCCACGTAATGTTGTAGAATGAACATTTTTTGACAATGGTTTAAAATCTTTAATCGATTCAACGGGAATTTGATGTAAATTTTTCGATTGATCATTTAAAGTCTCTTTTATTTGTTCATGTTGTTCTACATTAGCAGACTGTGGTCTTATAAAATTATTAAGAGCATCGTTGTCAGGCTCATTATTTAGTTTTACCGTTCTTGTATTTCCAGCATTCTCTTTCGGATCATTTAAGTTCGAGCTATTTATATTCTGTTCCGCAAGTTTATCCTTTGCATCGTTTAAGGATAATCTGTTAACATCGACTTGGTTGGCAAAGTTCGAATCGGGAATCTCCTTACAAATTGTTTCCTTTGGGGTGTCTTTGGAGTCAGGAAACGCCGTCCTGTAAACTATTACTTCTTCCGCAAGTCCATTCGGTTCGCCAAACACCGTCTTACAAACTGTGATATCTTCCGAAGGTTCTTCAGTAACGATATCGTTACAAACTCTTGTTCTCTTTGAAGGTTCTTCTGAATTTTCAAACTTTGTTCTGCATATGTCTTTCGAATGTTTCGCCAAATCCTTACAAGTTCGCGTGTTCTCGAAACGTGGAGCACTGAATGATGTCTCGCATATAGTTGTACTTTTGGCTAATTTTTTAGAAGGTGTTTGGCAAACGGATATTTTTTCTAGACACTCTACGACATTACATATGTTTTCAGGAAGCTCCTTCTCGACTCTGTCAACGTCCTTGCAACAATCTTCCTCCTCCTCCGCGATACAACTACACGTGGACCACTTTCGTGCCACTTGCTCTCTTTGGCAACTTGCGAGAGATTGTTGCAAAAGCTTATATCCCATCTGCCTCTTCGGGATATTGCTTCGATTTACCATCGACTCTTGGAGTATTTTATTTCGATATTTACAATTGTCTCTGAAACATTCTTTAGAATCTTCGCCGTACGCAGTGCAATCCGCGTAGATCGGTTTCGGTAACCATCTGCTGTCATCGACCGCACGGCATACAGTGTATTCGCTATCGTCTCCGCGATCACTATCGCGATCGTTATTTTTGCGATTATCCCTTCGTTCCACATTGGTACAAATCGCTCTCGACAGGAAGACATTACTGTCGTCCAGCCTCGTTCTCGCTTCCGAAGGATATATAGTGGTCCAAGATTGTGGGCGTCTGGTATTGTCACACGTGCTGAAACTTGAACACGGAACTGTAGAGTACGACGAATTCTGTTGGAGATCTATGTCGTTCGTATCTTTGTAATAGGAACCGTCTTTGGTCGATGAGGTCATGTCCTTGCACCAAACGTTTCCAGCGTTGACTTTGACATCTGCTTCCTCTTTGCCGCCCGCTTCGCTCGACTCCTTCCTGCTTTTTCCGTGTCGTGATATTTCGTTATCGTCGACGGTGTTATCGCTGCTCTTCTCATGAATAAAATTAGGTGATTGCTGAATTAGCAATTTCTTCCGTCTCTCTCTTATGCTGTTTATTAGCTTGCATGATGACGTTGTGCTAGCGCTAGTGCTTCTCGAATTAGATTTTTTGGTCACTGTATTGGAACTTGTATCCATGTGCAGTTGAGATCTCGATTTTATCCTGCCCTTCTCGTCCACACATGATCAGTTACAATTAATTATTAGATAGGTAATTATTATAATATTTATTAATAATATGTATTGTAATAGTATAATAAATTAGAATAATTATTATGGATTAATAAGTATTTTTACATAATTTATAATATATATCACTAAAATAATTATAATATAATAATTATGAATATAATTACAAAATAATTGATTTTAATATTGAAATTTCACTAATACTTTTGAGCTTTTACTTTGTTCATGAAACTGTTATTGTTCATATTGGGGTTTATTAATTAACACTTTTAAATCTTTATAATATTAATAATAATAAACATAATGAATGTATTTTTATGTAAAAATCAATTCTTTAACATATTCTGTATAATCTGGATACTTTATTTCAATTATTATATTTGATGCAAAAGATTATTTGACAAACTGACCTGGTTTTTATCATTAGTCTCCGAGCAAATATAAATATTAACATTTCCGGTCATTCTGCGATTATCGGTGTTCGGGTTATTCGCTGATTTCGAATGCTTTTTGCTTTTTCTTTCACCGCTAACTTTATTTTTTACAGGTAACGGTATTGCACTCTTGTATATTTTTGTACACGGATATGAAATGTCATGTTTGGATAAATTATTACATCGCCGTGAAGCGTGACTTGTAGTTTGTCGATTAATACAAACGTTGGGCAATTTTTTACAATGTTCTTCCAGCACAGGAGATTGACACATATCGGATATTTCTTTGGGTTCTTCTAAACGCGATAAAATTTGCTTTTTCTCTTCCTATTTCAAAGAAATTTTTATTCTTGTTTTACTAATTAATTTTTTCACAAAAAAAAACAAGTTACGAAAGACGGAAAACTTTTGTCGATTTTATCGTTTAATCTACCATCATTTAATTTTATTTTTATACGAAAGGTATAAAATATCTAGAGAAAAATTCTAAAGGTACGTTGTGGATACTTGCATCGTAGATACCATTGAACACTTTACAAGAGTTTGCACAGCATCTTTAATAGAATTGTTGATCCGTTTGATGGAATCGTTTATTTCTTTGTTGATCATCTCACTCAGCCTTGTTGGACTGATATTTTCGTCGCGCGCGAGTAACTTCTTTTTCGCTGATATATCCACGTAAGTCTCTCGCTTGATCCTTTCTTTTCCGCACGTTTCCAAAGTGCACGCGCAATTCGCCTCCGGCATCCTCTTATCATTTTCTGCCTTATTTTCCACCTCCTGTTCTCTCATGATATCTTCTCCTTTCTCTTCGGCCACGCTAAAGCTTTCAAAGCTTCTCTCCTACCTGCTTTCGGCTGATCGGCGAAAACCGACGTATCGATTCCCCCGACGTGAAAAACCGATGGTCTTTACGTCGTGAAAAGGGTAAGCTACATTTGCACTGCGCAAAAGTATCTTTTGTGCGGGAAATACCGTGCTCTATCTCTTGAGTCTTTAAATCCTCTGTCGGCTGAGAATCTACTGCTTTTCCGCTCGCTTCGATTTTTAACCCTAATCGTTTCTGCCTGTATAAGCTTCTTAGCCCCATTATCGTTTCTCATGATGCATGTTTCCTTCAGCCTTGTTATTGTACAAATATATAACGCACCGTTCTTATTTTTATTTCTTTCACTTTTAGAAATGCTTACATTCTTTGTCATTAGGCTACAATCATTCATACTTGAAAATTTGAGCTACTCGGTTAAGTGTCACGTCATACTGTCATTGAACGACACTCGACAGTATATTATCTTGCAATGACAAAAGAAACATTTATTGCGCTTTTCATTTTTATAGCGTATGAACCTTTGACTATTAATACCCGAGTTATTCGATTTTCGATATGGATTTTTTCACTATATTCCGGAATCTCATAATTTAATTACTTTATAAAAATAATATTCTACATAGTTCAAAGATTAACAAAGAGTATATCTGTTATATCTCTCAAAACGCATTTTTAATTATTGGAAACGTTTGTAAATATGGCAATAATCAGAAATGCAGTTTGAAGAAAAAAGAAAGTTATCGAACTTGTTCCTAATAAGGACTTCGATTTCTACCTTGCCGTCATCCTTTTTTGTTTCGATAGTGTGTACATACTCACAGGAAATCGGCCGATACATTATTCACGTAGCTTGTTGATCGCATTTCCGATGGTCACGACTTTCGAAATCCTTCGTGATTTACGAGCGTTCTCAATTTGCCTGTGAAAAATGTATTATACGGTCGTCTTTAAGGGTTCCGCGTTAGTAGATGGATTCTGATGATTCTCGTCCAATAACTCGTGTCTATATCGAGTGTATTAATTAATCGTTAAGCTGTAGTGGTATTTAGTACCACCGATAAGAAATCTGTTGTTTGCTTTTCTGGTAGTCGCTGCACTTGTTTTCAGACGGATACTTCAGCGCAGCTGCGTGTTATTCGGTTATTCACGTATGAATTATTGCACTCGCATGTAATACGCGAATGCAAATAGTGCGATTTTTTTGTATCAGTTCTGACAAATATTTAACACATTGCTCCATAACATAACTCGCAACAGACATTTGGCAAGCGATATCGTCAGCAATCAGTAATTATTTTTTAATTTGATAATATTCCAAAATGTCAAGTTTACTTAATTAGACTCTCTTTTTTTTAATATAAAGTCTGTCGAATTTTAATATTTAAAACTGAATTACAAAGTGAAGTTTTAGTTATTCAGATAATTTCACAAACAACTTTAATATTTAGATAATACCAGATAACCCGATTGCAAAATTTCTTTATTTTATATTTTATTACATAACACATTTACGAGATATCAACATTGTTATCTGTTTCATCGGCCGAAGTCGAAACATCAAATTGACGATGTTCACAAGAATAACTGCAAATCGATGACGTTTCGCTAAACGACTCGCTTTGAAATCTTTGCGTTGCTTCATATATTGTAGTACACTGTTCTTCTCTCTTGTGTTTATCACATATTGGCTACATACAAACATTAATTACAACACTTAATTACATAATATTCAAACATAAAGCATTTATGCACTAAATGGCCGAAGAGCGTAAATTAATTTCAAATTGTTTGAGCTTTCATAGTGGAAGCCAATGTACGACTGAATATTTCATACTTAACTGCAATTTACGCGCGCAAATCCACTTTAACCGGTCTAATCCCAGCTGAATTTCTCGCGAATAAAGTTTCATTTACCTTAAACCTGTTAACAACTTTCTCAAACTTCGGCGTCATCGTAAACCCACCACGGTCCTCATTTTTGGGAGGGAACAATTGTTTCAAATCTTTACATTTGTCTGCGCTCCGAGATAAAGATATTAGAGGTCTCTCAGCCGCTATCACTTTCTCCCGAAACTCACGCACCACGTCTTTGAAGGTTTGCGTTTCTTGATACGGAAGGGTATTCCCCTCTGTCAGCTTCGTGGAGACCTTGGAATATATCATATCGAAACGGAGAGAGATACTCTATATCTTTAACCTTTCATTCTTACAGTAACCACACATTGGTATGTAATCATGTTAAAAATACTTTCCGTTGCCAACAATCACATGGCAACAAATATATTAAGATTCAATTAGAAGAAAAATTAATTAAGTTATATTAGCATATTACTGAGTACGATAGGGTTTAAGAATTTTGATTTTTCAGATAATATGAAAGTCAAAATAATTTTTCTTACTGAAGTTACTCTGCTGACGGCTTCGTGAGCATCGCACATTACAGAGGTACCGCATGCCTGATCCCTCGATTTGGTACTCGAAGAAGAATCCCTCGTGCTTCGAAGAGCGCTCAAAGCCGTCCATCTTCTAGCTTCTCGTTCCTGAATTAATCTCATTCTATCGTGTTCCTTTAGCTCTTCTATTAAACCTGGCGTTTGATATGCAGGTAGATATTGTTTCAACATAGGTACCTCCAATCTGGTTTCGCGCACATTAACGTTGTATCTTCTTTTTATTTGCTGCGGTTTCTTTTCCAATGATCTATAATTATTACAAAAAAGCTAAATTTTTTTTAATTCTAAAACTTGTAATATTCTTAAATCTCATTTTGTCCGTAGTATCTTATTTTTATAAGCTGTAACAAACACATAGAATGTAACTTGAAATTTTAGTTGTGTAAATATCTCTATTTTTTCTGTAATAAGATTCACATATAAACGTACTCATTACATGACCTCGAAACTTTTTCTTGATCCCAATAATCTTGACAGTAAACTATTTGCTCAGGTGCCTTAAATTGCGACTGAACTTGACAAGACCAGACTTTTGGTTTGTTTGTAGACTTCAGATCGTACTTCATATCATCTCTCCTACTTTGAGTCTCTTCCTGGTCGCGAAGGTTGCATTGAGTTTGACGATTTTTGTTTAATTCAGCCACTGATCTTAATGCAGGAGTAACTCTTGTCTGTCTTCGAACGTCATCAGGATGCCATTCTGCGCGACTCGCACAGACTTCTGCATGCTGTGTACTATCAAGTCATCGATGTTAAAAACTACATGTATAAAAATACAATACTTGTGTGTTACCTGGGATGTCTATGAGTAAACGCATCACGACTGTAAATATTTTCCCGTTTTCTGTTATAAAGCTTTTCTTTAATCAGTGTTGCCTTATTGCAAAAGTAAGACTTTTGTTTTCCTCGTGGTAAACTACCATCAGATTCTCTTATATATAATAACATTATAGAATTATATTTTTGTAATAGATTAAGCAGATTAACTAATTTTAAAAATCTTTTCTTTTATTATATTTTATCTTTTTATATTACCTCTGCTTACGATGTTTATATTTGTCGATCCACTTTTCCTGTTTTCTTTCCTTTTTCTTCCTTTCCTTTTCCAAGCCAGCTGCTCTGCCAATACGCGACATCTTATCGTGCCTTTTGTATTTTTCAAATTTTCGCAGATTCATTTGAATATTTTTTTCGGATACTGCCGCAGGTTTTCTATTTTTATGCGCAAAAACCTGCACATTTTTTGGTACCATTTCAATACCTTCCTCAAATTCCGTCGCTTTTCTATCGTCAACACGTATTTCCGCCGTTCCCGATTGCTTCGTTAATTTTTCCACGGCAGGTTTTTCACGTCTTTTTACTTGGCACGTGACGCCGTACAACTCTGAACTAGCTAGCGGATCGTACAATCGAGCTTTATCATTTGCTACCGAAGTCGACGCCATTACTTTTTCTCTAGCTTTTTTCTCTCTGGCTAATTCTTCAACTTGTTCCTTTTTGGTAAAGTATTTTCTTACACTTTTTTCTTCTACAGTATTATTTGACTCCGCAAATGCTCTGCTATTTTTCGCTAATGATTTCCTTCGATCATTTTCGACTAGAGCTTTCTTTGGAACTCTTGTTTTGTCTGTTTCACTGTCTATCGATGTTTCTTCCATAGTGACAATTTCTTCTGTTTTCTTTTCTAAAAATCAGACAAGTATGCTACTTGATTGAATATTCTGTCCCTTTCTTCGTAAAATTCTAAAGCAAAAGATACTACCTTGATCGGATCTTTCCCAATCAGTAGCCAGCCATTCCTTATCTGTTTCTGACATTTCGTTCGTTTTAGATGTTTCACTACTTTGTTCTGTAATGGCACTCATATTCGATTGGCTTCTGCTATCTTTAACATCGCAGGATATTTGCGACGTGCACGAGCAAGAAATCTAATTAATATTAATATAAAAGTAAATATCAAATTATAGGAATGAGGGTAACTATTTCAGTAAAAAAAATATTAAATGACATATAAAAAAATCATAGAGCAAATTTATTCAAATATTTACATCCGTTTTTATCAAACGATACAAATATAATTTCAATTTTTAAAAATTTCACAATATTTTTAAATATCAATATCTTTTTCGATACTGATCCCAGAGAATTAAGGTTGTCATTGAAATAAAAACGATAAGTATACTTGAGCGTAGTTGTCACTAGTGACGTTCCATTTATCTCTCTTCTGATTGTCGATGTTGGATATTCTAGTATCTGATAAAATATTAATGCGGTCTGTCGAACGAATGCATCTCCGCTTCGATTGAGAATCTTTAATCTCGTCTACTACAAAATACGCCGTATCCTTCGAAATCGGCTGCAGATATCTACGAATTACATTGTGTATGACATTAGTACTATATTGAAAAATATCTACGTATTGTATATATTAAAGCTTTCACATTTGTTGTGTAATAATATTTATCTTAGACTGCTACAGTTTTGCTATACCTTGGTAATTCTTTCGTTGCAAATTTCTTCTCGTGAGGATGTCTCAGTTTTGCATCGTCAGCTCCTATGTGAGAATCCGGTTGGCGACAGATCGTCCCGCGTCGTGCACGATGTGAATCATAATTTCTGCTGTAAATATTATCCCCGGAATCGTCATGATCTGAGATGATTTGCAAACAATCTACTTGCCGTTCGTGCGCCTTTAAGAGCGCGCGCCGTTCGTTTTCTTCGTCGGAGGCAGACGAGGAAACGGAGGAAGAGCCCTTACGCTTCGCGTCCTTTTTCGTAACTCGAATTCGTCGATACATTCGTACAGGCGAGGTAGATTGATTTCCAGAAAGCATCCGTGCTATTTTATCCAGGAGAGACGGTTTTCTCGTTCGCCATTCGCCGTCGCTATCGGTCGTCTGAAAGGAAACGAAAATTCACCGTAAACGATCGACGCAGAAATTACTGATTAAAAATAAAGTGGAAGGAATACGCCAGCGAGATAGCGAGGAAGTTATTTCACCGCGTACCGTTCTCTTGCCGAGCCAGGATATTTTCGTGAGTGCAGCAAGGATTCTTCCTATGTGACTACTTCGTTTTCTTGCTTTGCCAGTGCCGTCCTTTAAGAGTAATTCCTTTGAGCCGTCGTCCATCTCAATGTGAATTACCTCTTCCTCATCTAGCTCCTCCGTAGAGCAGGATTCGGTGTCGGCTATCGACGTAGACGAGCTGGAATCGTCCTTGCGCGGGGAAGCGCAGGATTTCCTTTTCAACCTGGTACGAAGTCTCCTACGAGCTCTCAGCATGAAGCAGGACGTCGGATCCTCACTGCTCGAAGTAATGTCCTTTACCAATGGCTCATTGAAAATCTGAATCGGACATTTACTGCTCAATTCTTATTGACATCGCTTGTTGAAACCAATTTTTTTTTCTTATTATTGACATAATTTAAATTTGAGTTTTGATTAAGATATCTTAAGAAGTCGACAATTTATTTATATTTGATCTAACAATCGTGATATGTAAAATTCACTTTAAAAAGTTTGTTACTTACTTGCATTAAAATTATCTTTGTAAAAAGTCTTTCACCTTAGTTCTTTAAAATAAATTAAAATGTTTTCATAAGAGTTGTGCAATGCCTTACTTGAATCGTAACATCTTCTCTTATTCTCTGCGCTTCGATGTCTTTGAACGGCGTTCTCCGACGCTCGATTTCGATCTCTCGTGAGCCTTCTTGATAAGCTGGCACAGATATTAATAATTATTTTTACTGGGGATTCGTGAAATAAATTACGTGCATTTGAAAGCATGCGTTTGTAGTAGAAATATGGTGCAGAATGCAGATAGGTGATGTACATACTATAACTGTAGACCGAATCAGAACTACTTTCACCGATATCATCGTCCGTTTGCACTGCTTGATCCTTCTTTTCTACAATTATTCTTTCAATTCTTTCTTCTTTCCTTTCTTCAGATATTCTTCTTTCCGGTATTTTTTTTTCCAATATTTTTTCTTCCGACACTCTTTCTTCCGCTATTATTTCTCCTGGTTCTCTTATTTCCGGCATTTCTTTTTCTTCTACTTCTTCTTTTGTCTCTTTCTCAGGTTTTTCTTCTACAATTGGTTCTTCTTTTTCATCGATATAAGTACTTATTGGTACAGGTTCCTTTTTCGCGATTAATTGATCATCCGATGAATCTCTAATTCATTAGAAAAGATTGCGAATAATTACTGCATAGTTTTAATAATATATTTTAAATATAAAAATATAAATGTTTCTTTAAATTATAATTAAATGGCATGATTATTTTCATGAAATAATTTATTCAGAAGAGAAAGACAATAAAATACTTTTCAGCATCTATAAATATAAAAACAAAAACAAATATAGCTTTACAAAGACTTGATATATTTGTGCACTATATTTAAAAATATTTATATTAATATACATTGCTCGTAATACATAATAGCGTATTACTTTCATTCTCGTGTTCTGTAAACTCTTGTGTAACATGATTTATTGCTAAAACTCACCTTTCCTCGCTAATGTCCGATAAATCGCCATACTCGATGGGCGATCGGCAAATCGTGCAGAGATTCTGCAAGTCCCCGAAGCATTGGATACAGAACAAACCGACGCAGCCTGGCGTGGCGCATTTAATGTGCGGTTCCTGATCGGAACGTTCCACGGCGCCGCACAGGAGACACACGTTCTGCTTTCGGGGGAACAATTTGTTCAGGAAAGGGCAGATCGCCAGGCATCGTTCTCTGAACGTGACTCTCTCGATTCTCTCGCCCTCGGTCATGCCGAACTTGCGGCGCAACTGGCGTCGTGCAAATTTCAGAAAGCTTCCCCTCGATCTGCACGAATTGAAACCGTTAACTAAACGCAGTACGTTGTATGTTCGCAATTTATATTGTGTGCAAAGTAAACGGAAGGAAACTAAACAACACTGAGGAAAAAATACTTGAAAATTTATTTGTGGAATATAAGGTTTATTTCGAAGAAATAAATCTCACTTGTGGAATGTAAGGTTTATTTCTGCGAAATAAATCTTATATTCCACAAGTGAGATTCCGTTCTATTCCATTTATATTCCACAAATAAATTTTTAAGTTTTTTTTCAGTGAACAAATTGCACGATAAAGCGAAAATCGTTACTTTAATGGAATTTAATATTTAAACAAATTTTTTTAAAACATTTTACTACGAAATCTTGTTAGATTTTAATATTCATAGTTAAAAGTGGCGAAGTGTACCTTTAATGTAATCAACCAACATCAACCTTTAATAATATTTTATGAAACAACCAGCATAAAACTTTGTTGCAAGTAGTATAATCTGATATCTGTGTGCCGGTCGGTTACTTCATTAGCTAATTGAAAGTGCATTACCTAATTATATGATTATACAACCAAGCGGCTCTTTGCTTAGCTCTTTCCGGATGATATTTACACATCACGACATGTCGCAGCCGCAATCCATATGGTTCAAATATTGCCATGATCCAGCAGAAGATGATCAACGTCACAATTTGCGTGTACCGATCTAGATCCGGTGGGATGGGATCTGGGAGGCAGGGCGTCACATCGATCTCCGTATCCTTCGCGTGCGGCGTGAAGGCTTTCACGATGCTTCGATAAAGGTCGGCGAGATAACCGTCACCAGACACATAGACGCCCACGAAATTGGGTCGTTGGACCTAGAAATCGATATATACGTTCCGCCATTATATTACCTTCTATCGTGATTATTCTACGCCGCGGTACATATCCGACCACCGATTGTCGATATTCCCGCACTCCACGCAAATTTCGATAACAAAATTGCGGTTCTAAGCTAACATAACATTCAATCGATTCAGTTTGCGTAATATACGTTAACTGTGATTTAATTCTTCAGGGATGTCTTTCTGTTGCTAATCATCAATTTAAAATAGTTATTTACCGTTTGTCATGTTTGTCGCGAGAGATAATTATAACAAGGTAGGAAAAGCTCTAGATATCATAAATAAAATGTTTGAAGCATACATTATTTTCTAATTAATATTAGTCATCAAGATACCTTTGTTTCGATCCGTCCGTGATACCTAATAGTGCTAAGAATCCAATAAAGACTGTAGTCCGCCATCATATGGATGCAGATTTTGAATGTTGTTAAGCCCAGAAAGACGGCGGATTTTGCGAGCTTAATTTTTTCTACCTTGATCAACGTGACGGACGTCAGCGGGATATATTGATTTCTCTCGCGACGGTTTAATGGCAGAATGGTCTCCTTATCCTGACGTGTTCTTATTAGATCGATAGTGCGCAGATCATCCGTCAGGTATCGGTTATCGAAGCGTTCGCTTGTCAGCCATTTGTGTCGATAATGCAAGATCCTGGAAAATGTGTTCCAAAATACCTCAGGTTTCAAAGTATCAAAATAACGTCTTAATAAATTTCACCTTAGCAGCATGAAGAAAATGAAGAAAGTGGTCATGAAGCTCATCCAGTCGAAAACGGCTAGAAATCTATCGGTCCTCGATCGTACCTCGGTAATTATACCAGTCGATACGTCTTCGAGGGCTTTACTTTGGTTCGTCTCAAAATGGAAGGAATGCGAGAATTTTACTTTAACGTAGAACATTGCTTTTACATGGCGAGTAAACCTTTTGATTTCTATGTAAGCAAGAGATATTTTAAATCAGAGAAAAATATAAAGAGCTTACCAATATTATGTTAATGGAAGAATTTATGAATTTATAAAACAATTAAATGTTTTAGGAATATTTAAAATCGTAAATAAATTGTATTTGAGTAAATTTCTAAATTCTTGATATTTACAGGGATTTGGAAATTTTCAAAAATTTGTTGTACATAAACTCTTTCTTCCAAAAACACTTTCATATAGATTTCCAATCTTGACATACTCTTCCGTACGGCGTTAACTATAGTATCGGCGACATAAGACACGAGCATGCAGATGAAGTCCAGAGGTTTCACTACGTAACACAAGGCGCCGACGACGTACGCCAGATTGCAAATCCCACCGAAAAGGGGACCGAGCTTCGCTTTGCAGTCAGTAACCGCGCCCTCAAAGACACTCTGACACCTGTCGAACGGCGTGCCCAGCTTCTTGTTGCAGATATTCACGATGCTGCCGAGCCATTGAAAAACCGACGTGATCACTCTCACTGAAAGATACGTTTTTCAAGTTACGAAGATCGATTATCCCGCGAAGCCAAGGGGAGTACGTTGACTCACGTATACTAAGCACAAGTCGCTTGATAGCCACGAGAGTCCGCTTAATCTTCCTCACGACCACCTTCACCGTCTTTATTACTTTCGATATCGCGTCTCTCAGAGCGTAGAAGGGTTCTTTTATTAAGTCAACTACGTTTTTCACGGCTTGTTTTAATTGCTCCTACGTATGTGTGTTTTTTTATGATTTACATTAGTAATGACAATTTCAAACAACGACGGCAAATCAAAAAACATAATCATATAAATTATATCTTATGAATTCGAAAATGTGCAATGGAAATGCAACGGATTGCGGAACCAACGATATGTATGAACGTTCAAGTCTTTTATCGGCTAAACAAAAGATCTAATTATGGGCAGAACCATTCAAGGATTCAAGGATTGGTAGGCATTTATAGACATAAGTGGAATACGTAAACAAACTCACCTGTTAAAGCTTACCTGTCCACAGACTAAAGACTCCGAAAGGACACTAATATTATGCAAGATATTCTTTGCCGGTCCAGTAAGTGTTAGAATAAAAGCATAGGCCATCAAGGCCTGTCTGCCACGTTTAGAAAAGAATTGCGGCAGCAATAGAAATACAATGCATCTATGTAAATGTTGACATACATTTGTAGAAAAATGCAATAAAGAAGATAGAACTATGAAATACAATAGAAGTTAAAAACACCAAGGTACGATTTTCATTTTTTTTTTGTTTTTAACTAATTAAAATCTTAATCTTAATATACTTAAAATATGCTATAGCCTATATAACTTTCATATTTATATTATTGAAGTTCACGCAAATTTACCTTACACGACGAGAAAACGCCAAACCGAGCGTGAGAATCACTCCAAGGGCCGAGCAGAGCATCGTGGCAGACGAGAGAGTAAAACTCAGTTGAATCACAAAGAACACAAAGAACATGTATGTAAGAAATATGCCGCCCAAGAATCCAAACACGCTCTTCAGAATGTAATTCTCGAGCGAACCGTCCATACGAAGAAGCCTCGCCTTTTTGTAAATCCATGTATGCTTTATGGGGGAAATTATTCGGCTCCAGAAATGATCCAGCTTCTTTCTGCATCTATTGAGATATGATTACGCGTAATAACTTGACAATAAAAAATAGTAATACGTTAAAATAAAACATTGGAGCATAAAATAAAAAGTGTCATCAAAATTCTGATAAAAAGCAGAGAAGAAAAAGAGAGAGAGATACGTATGATATAATAAATGTTAGAGAGTAGAATTAAGAGTAAAATTAATATTGATCGGTCGGATAACGAGTTAATGGCCAGGCTCACTTTAATCTCTTTCGTCGGAGACGCTGCTTGAAAGTCAGCCGTGGCTCGACACCCTCGGAGATCTCGATCGATCTCAATTTCTCATCTTCGTATCTTAACCTGGCTTTCTCGAGCTTTCTAGCTTTGAGAACCAATTGAAAAAACGCCATGGTCTCATTCAATTACTTTATCTAATCCTCTATTCTATTTCATACGTCTCTTATGAATTATATTAACTATTCTATAGCTAATGAGTAATTACGATGAAAATGTCACTGAACGTCATGGTTCTAGCATAAACTGAAGTTTCGAGCAACTGGAGCAACTGGCATTCGTTCGCATTGTGATTCTTCGTTGTTTCATCCATAAATCAACTGTATACATGCATTTATCTAGAAATTTGTAAGAATCGATTTTTTCTTGATTTAACTTATGTAGCATTTTTCCTCAGAGTAAGGGCCCGGACACACACTTCTGCACAACGCATAATGCGTAAGCATAAGAAAATTGATTGGTCCATACACATGTGCATAAGGAAATAAACCAATCAGTTTTCTTATGCTTACGTATTATGCGTTGTGCAGAGGTGTGTGCTCCCCGCTTAACTCCTATCTTACAATTACACATTGTAATTATAATAATATAAGTAACAAAATATGTCATTTTATTATATTCTTTTGGAATAAAATGCTCGGCCAATTCTTTTAAGTTTTCATTTTCAAAGGAGAATGGACATTTTACGCGCAGGAAAGATTTGTTCCAGAGGCAGACGTTTTGTAACATAGTCTGATATACTGGAGCTCCAAGCTCCGTTACCAGCAAATGATCACAGAGACAAGCGTCGGCAGATGAACGAGCGATGATAAAAGCTGTGTGTTACCAGTTTCTGGTTTATCGGAAATTTGAGTGTGTTAGCGTTGTGCGTAAAGCAGTTTCCTCTTTGATTATAAACATTGTCATTTTGTATCATGATACATGTATGTACGCATAAGCAGAAAACTGATGAGTATTGCAGAATCTTTAAAAATACTGACGGCCAAGTCCAAATTGCGCAAATTATGTAATTGTGAAATTAAAATTAAGGTAAATTTTCATGCTTGTTATCATAGTGTCTGCTGCTTTTTAAAGCCATATCGAGAATATCAAAAACGTTGGAGAGAATCTAACGTTTTTTCCGGTACTTTTGCAATATATTTCTAACAGACGTTTTATATTTTTACATTATTTTAAACTTTTTGGCTGGAGCAAGACCCGTTGACCTATCCATCGAGTTGCGTTCCCCAGTCCCCACGTCTACCTCGAACGTTCTTCAAGAACCCGCTCTGTGTCGGACGTCGCCAGCGTTGGTCTTCGATTCTTCAAGGAGGACCGCGCGATACCGCCGACGGGCGTCGGAGCGGGACACCGATGTCACCCGCACCAGCATCACAGACACAGGCCGACGAAGGAAGGTGGGCGTCGAGGTCGCCGGAGAGGGGCGCGCAATCTAAAGCCGATAACGAGCCAGCTGGCGGCGGCAGTGCCGTCGTTTACGTGGAGGTACGACCTTTGCGAGAGTTCGCTCTCGCTGGTGGGGCTCGTGCCGGATCGCTCCTGGAAGGTCAGAGGCTGTCCTGGGGATTAAATCACCGCTCGCGGCACGGAAAACTCGGAGGTGCCCGCGTGTCCCCGAGGAACACTCCGAAGAGTGGCGAAACACGAGGGAGGGTGAAAAGAACAACAACAAAAAAAAAAGGAAAACAAACATGCCGTGAACCTCGCCAGGTGACAATGCGTACGACCCGATGAAGTCGACGGTGCTCATAGCGCGTGCGGCTTTCGATCGCATGCGACCAACACCGTAGACACTTTGTCGTCATCGTCGTCGTGTCTTTGCCGTGCGTGTGCATGTGTGCGGTGCGCGGTGGTGAGCGCCCGTGACCGTGTTGTACCTGATCCAGTGATACCTCCTGACCCAGCTTCTACCTGATCCAGGTGCCCGACACCTGGACCCATCACGATGACCACGAGGGAACTCTACGTAAAGGTATCGCGAAGACTAGGTTCGGAGATATATTTAGAGATATCAGGTGCGCGCATCCCCGAGGAAGATGGCAGGTCTCCTCTGACGTAAATAAAATTGCGCGCCGAGGATTCTCGCGCGCGCCACCGTTTCGCGGTCCCTCGGGGGGGATTGACGCTGTGCGCTCTTCAAGGGGATGTTTCTATTTGGCGTGAACTGAAAAGTCGCGGAGCACGACTGTGTAGAGATTTCGATCCTTCGTTCGGAATCGAAGTCTCCGCGGATTCTCTCGCTCGTCGGATGACGGTTCCATAATTGGAGGCGTGAATAATGGAAGGCGATTAGGGATGTTGCTCCAGTTTCTCGAGCCCGAAAGAACCGAAAGGAACTTTGAAGATAAATGTGAAACACGTTTTTTTTACCTTCAAGTGCATTAAACGGGTTGAAATTCAAAAAACAATATATCCATAACAGTAATAAGCATTTTAAAAACTTTAATCATCGTTTAAAATTGCACATTTATCGCACGCCACTGTAATTTACATATAAAATTATGGGATTATTCCGGTCGTATGTAATATCTCGAAGTCTCGCTTGACGTGATTCAACCGCATATATCAACCAAGAAACTCGTGGAGTTGAAAATGACTCGGTTATACAATCAGTGGAAATTGCGGGAACGATGTCGGCTGCTGCGAGATTATGGTTGCGCGTGCGAAACTGTGATCCGGCTCCTTTTTTTTACAATCATCAAACGTTGAACGCGCAAAACATTTGACATTTCGAGTGAACGTATCTTTCTCGCGGTGTCACCGGGCATAACTCGCGATCCAGGAAATCTGTCAACCCGTTTCCGATTTCACTCTGTTACTTTTTACAAATATCCAGGAAAGCGAGGTCCCACCAGCCTTTCAGAAGCGTGAGTTTCCTATTGCGCAACGATAAGATCAAACAATAAATCAAGGGTTATATAATTATCATTGTGTCTACGTTGCTACACGCCCGTAAATGCACACGTTTGTCACGAATATAGGTCATCCATTTACATAATACGTCATAGTTTCTATGATACGAGATACTTGGGCCGAAGAGAAAATTCTATTTCTCACTGTTATTCTTTTTTACTCTTATTTGAATATTTAACAGACGTTTCCATTGTATTTAATTTATGCAAGTTATATTTCTCACTTCTAAAGGACTCTTCCTTCATTCTCCTCTCAACAGGCATCTTGATGTGAGGCACAACAATCGCTTTCCGCTTTTTCTGACAACATTTATTTGAAGACGTATTCATCTTGATGAATCAGCTGTTTTCCGGGATTTCGATCGACACGAAACATAAATAAACAGATTCTTAAATTTCGCTGAGCATACCTTTAAACTCGAGCTTCGTATGGTAAGAATCAACAACACTGACCTGATATCCTATCTAAAGCGTTCTCTCTCTTAAGATTAACAAATTCGGTACGATTGTATACATATTTTCTCACGCGGTTTATATCTTCCTGATGCAAAACTGATGCAAACAATAATTAATATCTGTTGCGATTTTTTAAGCCGTAACAATTTTCTGTTTATAAATTAATATATATTAATCAATATATCATTAGTTTTTAATATACAACGCAAATCGAGAAAATTGATTTTTTATTTCCCAATTTATAAAAATGGAGGTATTGATGGAGAATCTCGGTTCAGATTGTTCGCAAGCTACATTTTTATTGACATATATTGATTGATCGAGCTGCAGAACGCGTGACTTGAAACAATAAAAGGTTGTTGAATATTTTGCTGTCTGTATGTGCATTAATAAATACGGAAAGACGAAGTTTTTCTTGAGCATTCGAGATTTCTTTCCGAAAGTAAAATCAATAACTGCCAGCGAGAGAGCCTCCATTACTGGAGACCTAAATTCTGGTCTAAATCAGGTGGCACGATCGTAGAAATAACAGCGTGTGTTTGATTCACCGCGATAATGTTTCATTAACAGCACGGTTACGATTACATGAAACGCTTTCGGGTGTAGTGTTTGATAAGATGCATCTTGAAATTGAGAATTAGTAAATTTATTACTATACATGGAAAATATTTATTAATGAATAATTAATAATCAAATTATTTATTAATAAATAATTAGGCGAGACAATTGATTCTTTCTGATAGAATTATTGCACTATCTTTGTTAACACACTTTGTTTGTTAACACAGCTGTCATTAACAGATGCTAACAGACGCATTTTCCAGTCATGAATTATATTAACCGAAGCCGAAATCGCGGAATATCTCTAACATATCGTGACAGTTAATTGTATCTTTCAACGATACTTAATTGTCATCCGAGTTGTTTCAGAAAAAAATCATTGTGTCAACAACATGTAATGTAAACATATGGAAAAACTGATTTTGCCAGATCTAGGATAATCGCAATTCGAAAATTTAGTCGCAAAGAAATAACATATAACGTACATTATCATCGTCCCAAAGCGAGTGATAAATTCACGTGCAAACTGAAATGCAAAAAGTAATACGACGCATAATAAAACGCGCCTTGGGATTATAGCGTGCGAAGTGCCGCATGCCGCCGAGTAATGAAGAGACCGAGATTAGAAAGCGTTATTGCCTTATGCTATTCCCTTTAAGCCTGTGACGTTTCTCCCCGACGTTGGTGGTTGATTTATCGCTGCGGCCAAGTGAACGGCGGGGGTTGCCCGAGGTCGGGCATCGTGCTTTTTGTTATAACAGGTTTTCGCTCCTTCGGACGCAGGGGTACAAGAGAAAAAATGTCAGAAATGACATTAGCGGCACGGGCACCATTCTTTAGGTGCTTTTTTTTCGTCGATTATACTAATTCCAGAGTAGCTACGACTATGCGAGTCTTCGGAAGGTTCTCTCATCGAATATCGAGCGTCGTTATAGAGAAAAATATTCGGAAGACAGAAAATTGTAGGGAAAAAAAGAGTAAAAGAGAAGGCACTTTTTTTAATTCGAAAAAAATTTTGTGATGCTATGAAGAAAAAGATTTAAAATTACTTACTTCGTCGTAAAACAATGAAACGCGAAGATTGGTGAAACATCTTTTATTTCATTATTCTCGGACTGACTCTCTGAATTTGCAAGATAATTTATGTAAAGTTATTATCATTAAGAACAAGATTTGTCAGAACAAGAAATCTTGTAGAAACTTGAATTCTGATGAAATCTTGAGTATGACGACAGTGATAATTTTCTCGAGATTATTATTCCGCTATGGACCTTCCTTAAATGGTCGTCGGCCATTGCCCGTAGATAAAATGTTCCTCACGGTCGCGTGAGGAATCTACCGGTCTTAGCGACGACGGAGGGCAAAGAGTGCAGCGAGATCGTCTCGCGCCGAGGTGTTTTGCTTTTCTGCAGCGAGAGAAAGGAATCTGCTCGGCCGTAAGCGTATAGCTTGCCGATCGCGTTCCTCGAACTGATCACCCGGTTGGCTGTTCCCAACGATTCTAGCTCACCTTTTAGCGTGAAAGCGCGTTCGTGACTTCAGCTAAATCGAAATTGATATTTAAAAAAATTGCCCCATCAAACTCTCATTGAGACGGCGTCATGTGTCTGCGGTTTATTAAATATTTATATCATTGCTTGTTTGAGATCAGCGCGCGGCGCTTGCACTCTCATTGCGCGAACGTTGCCGGGAACCCTTTCTCTTAACAGAGAGACCATTCTCCTCGTATTGATTACATCGCGCCGTGGTCAGAACTTTCGTGTCTCAAGATCACTGCGTACCAGACTCTCTAATCTATTATCGATTGCATACGCGCCGTTTCCGCTATCGATTATCGAGATTAGTGCGTTTCGCCGCTTCGTTCGCCCGATAAGAATAATTCCCGCCGGCGAAAGCGTCTTCACCGGAGAAGCGCTTCTTTCTCTCGCGAGGAAATGTTTCCTGTGTTAAATAAGGCGTTACGTTGGTCCTTTATGGTCCCTTCTCTCTATCCGCGGGACGTAAAATCCTCGCGGCGATATCCCACGAAAGCATTCCGCTTTTACGGACGCGCGCATAACTAACACCCGCGCCCGAAGCGGAAAGTCTCGTTCTCACGATTGCGGTCTTTCTTTTGCGGAAACTCGATGGCTAAATCTGCCTTTGTTTACCGATTAATCGCGCCTCGGTAAGATATAAACCGGGAGCATTAACCCATGAAGATATTTTCATAACGTCATGCTACATTACATTTTATTTTACGCCGGATATCGCCATTATTTCGAGTTAAAAACAGTGCGATAAAATGTAATGATGCTATTTCTTACGGCGCTTGACGTTATGATTAGTGAAAATTAAACGTGCAACTTTTTTATGACGCAAATCGCAGCGGGATATTTTAAGCTCTAATTATAAATCACGTAATTTTGCGTGTGTAGGGAAAGAGATTATATATATACACGCGTATAATATAATAACGCAATTTTTAGTTTTATTTGTAATTTAAATGAGAATTAGATTAACGCGCTTCTATGTTTTATAGTATATTAGATAGGAAAAACGTAAACGTATACGTCAACGTAAACAATCGATCTTACTATCACAATGCCGATATCAACGACAGAGAAGATAAATTCGATGAAGTTGTTTGTACCGTTTGTTAATAGACCTCGAGGTTTTTATAGTCTGCTCTTAGATCATCCATGTGCGTTTCATGGTCAAAGCTTACCTAACGAAGTTTGAGAACATTATCAACGTGTATGCTTTTTAAAATGTATATAAATTGTCATTTCGCGCTTTCCAAAAAATATGGGATATAAAATGTGAAAAGTAAAAATAGAACATGTCAATAAACGTTGAATATAAGTTTTCATTAATTGTTTTCGTATTTTTACTTATACAATCTGATGTTTTTTCTTTATTTTTAAATTTTGTTTCTTTAACAATTATCCAAAAGTCACTCTGTTTCTCCACATATCGCGAACTCCATTCTATTTTATATTTTAAGTGTTTATGTTTACGGAGAAACCACGTAATAGACCGAATTGTCCAGTTTCTTTGCTGAAGAAATCCATGTCAGCATGAGTCACACATTCCGGGATGGCCTCGTAGTGATAAGATTGCGACGCCCCACCATATCGCTTCCACCTATGTTTAAATTGTACGAAAATGTGTACGAAGACCTGAACACGAGACTTTAACGGAGTGTCATTGCCACGTGCTAGTGATCAAAACACTTGTCTGACCATAATTGACACAACTACCAATAATAAAAAAAATGCATTGAAAATAGAGTACTTTACTAGTCAAGCGAATACTGCTTTTGTAACACTGCTATTCAATAAAATTAGACTAAAACATGTGATTCAAAATTATATATTAGAAATATATTAAGCTTATTTTCAAGATATATGCGATTGTTTATCTCATTAATTAATCAGCGGAAGTGCAATTATTTTGTGTATTACGTGTATACTGAATCTACATATAAAATTATTAATCAACTGTTGGATGGTATACTGTGGTTTCAATGAATAATTTTATGTTATGCAGCATGGGAACTGTTTTATATTAAACACTTGTATATTTTCCTTATTTCTTCTCTTACATTGTTTTTTTTATTTCCCACGATCGTCTTTATTATCGTTTCTTTATTTTCTTTATTTTCAGTAAAGCAATGCATTTAGCTTAATTTAAAATAACAGAATTACCCGTACAATTATATATATATATATTGCTTGCAAAATTTAATAAACACTTAATTTAATTTTGCCGAGTCCTAATATCGATCCGTGCACGAAAGGAATACGCGAAAAATATTCGCGATTAGAGAAGAGTAGAAATCCTTACGTGCGAAATGCAACGGAAGCCTTACATAGTAGTGAAGCTCGCGCGGATACAGAACAATCGAAGGGTTGCATCGCCTGCCTAAAGGCAACAAAGCTGTTTCTTGCATATGCGTACAATGACTTGCGTCAAGTTTCGAAGAAAATATGTTACCAACGTTCGAGTAGTTTTCGCGAAATTGGGGCGACATCGATCACAAACGCCAGCTGCGACGAAAACGTGCGCTGCAACAAAAAGTTCCTCGCTCTAGAGGAAAATATTACGAAAACTTTACGAAAATACATTTATACAGAGAAAGAAAGACAGAGAGAAAGATAGCATTTTCAAAATAGAAACTATATACATATCAATAAAACTTCAATAAAATTAGCAAAGTTCTTCATGCAGTCCTGAAAGAGACAAATCGCTTTTTTATTTACGCATACAATTTATCGTACTTTTTAAATTGTTCATTATTGATGCCGTATCTTAATCATGCGGATATCGAATCTCTGTCGACACAGTCATTACTAATCCGCGACAGAAGGCGGTGCGGTGGAATCAGGAAGCTTACTCGCATTAGATTAAGAAATTACGTAAATACGCAAAATGCGGCGTAACTTTCTACGGATCCACGGATCACTTTTGTCTTCTGGACACCTCTTCAATTAAAGGCTTGCTATGAGAACCCGGTAGAGAGCTCGAGTTTTTTGTTTCTCTTCCCGCGTGAGTCCGTGGTGATAATTGGCCTTGCTGCTATTGCTGCTGCAGTGTTATTGCATGCACTGCGGTATAACATAGAAAGCATGGGAATAATTTCCTCGGTATGCCGCCACGAAGCGAGAGAGCTAGCGCAGGCGTACCTTAAGCTGTGTAAAATTTCGATGTAAAGAAATTTGCGTATGTGTAGAAAGAAACCTTTCCGGATAAAGCCGCGAAACTCAATTAAAAAATTAAGATAAAAGAAAAAGAATAAAATTGAAAATACTTTCTATCTAACCGATCATATAGCCCTAAAACTTTGTATTAATATAATGCAGTTGCATTGACCGTAACTTGTATGTAACCCCTGGGTCGGATCCAGGAATATCTCGACTTATCCTTTTTATTTATCTACCTTTCCATCGCTTCTTTCCTTTATGCATGAACTCTGCGAATGGTTCAGCGAAAGTCTCTTATGTAATTAGCTAATATACTATAATAACGTTCTTAAGACAGGCGAAAGCCTTCGTGTCACCGACATAAAACTGCATCTCATGACATCACATTAAATTCGCTAAGTATAAATTCTTGTATATAAATGCTTTTCTGTGCGGTTTTTACGATTTGTACATCTTACAATAAACATAATCTACATTTTTTTTAATTTAACAGAACGTCTTGAAAGAAATTGTATTTATGCAGAAGAGATATCATTATATCTTCAGATTTTGAAAATTACTCACCGATTTATTTTTAATCTATTAGAGCGAAAATGTGACTCAAATAGATCTTATCAGTTCGCGTTGTAGCGTCAAGCCCGGTGTGGAAGGTCGTTTATTAAATACGGCACAAATATTATTTTCTCATTGATACTCCAATTCTGGTGGCGTAAGCACTTAATACATTACGATGTTTGTTCACGTGGTGTCGTTTATCGCCAGTGTAATCTTGCGCGCGTTTCGCATAAATACGAGTATATGCAGAATGCCGTGCGTTTTTCGTGAGTCACACGAGCAGGAGACGTGTCGATAGGGGCAAACCAAGAGATAAGAGGTTTAATTATACCGCGTCAGTGACTTTGCGACCATTACGCGTCACCTATTTGCGTTTTTATTTCTTCTCCACCCGGCGAAACGGTATCTTGCGTAATTAATGATACACACGTGCATGGCCCACACGCTGTGGGAGCGAAGTTCAGGGTCGCGTATTTCATCGTCTTTTTAAACGCGGCTAATTGGCACGTGTAATCAAAGCGGCTAATGAAATCATTTATGAGATTTAACAAGGAGGAAAACCGGCGTCTTTTTTTCCATCTCTTCCGAAAGATTTTCGCACGCACCGTAGAGATGCGATTCAATCGACGCGAATCATCATCGCCGTGCAATAATTAATAAGCTCGTTAAAGTAAACGTGAGGTTGCGAATTCACAATTCACAAGTCTTGCCTGCCATTTCACACGACATTTGATGTAATTGCTATCCCAGCTTAAATTGGGTATTACTGCGATTACGCGTTTCGTTCATTCGCGAATTTACTTAAATTATAAAATTAAGATTGCGATTTTTCAATATGACCTCTAAAATGCATTTCAGTACAAAGCAGATTTTAATTCTAAAGGATATCTACAAATTGTACTTATTTTACATGTCAAAAAATTTATTACCATAATTATACAATCCTAGGTACTTGTACAAAAGAGTATTTAATTATGTAGACAGAGTTTCTTTAGGAATTGGAAGATTTAAAATTCGTCACGCGGTTCTTATCTCGGGATATTTATGAAAAAAGAGCGATTGATATACTCAATGAATTATTTCGTCCGTGAAACCTGAATATAGTTATGCATCGCCGACGTTACTTATGGGATGATCCGAAGATGTGGGACGGCGAAAGGGAAGTCGCGACTTCGGCAGAAAAACCAATTTACCGTTGCTTGACATGCTTCTGGATAGTACATTTGTAATACAATTGGGTGAACCCGGGAGACCGCTTCGACAATACGTATAGATCCTTATAACATGAAAGTCCGTTGGGTTTGGTTACACCGTTATTCACTCACGAAAGTCGCTCGCGCATGTTCGTAGAAAATGTCAGACTGCATGTAAAACTATCTTTGACGGTTACTGACGGACGACTATTTGCGTGATATCGCGATGTTTTCACGATAGCCTAATTTCTGGGATTTGTGCTTAAAACAGCTTTTAGATTTCATATTATTTAGACTTTAGATTTATGCAGTAGACTTGACATATTTACACATTATATGTATGTATACACTTTATGCAGTATTATCTATTACCTATTGCGTGATTAAAATTTCAATTAATATAAATAACGTTATTCGTTATTGTTTTGTATTATCTGTGCATATCTATTACCTGTTGCATAATTAAAATTGTAATTAATATAAACAACATTATTCGTCTTTGTATGTTACCTACTTTATAACTAAAGCGATTGAAAGACAAATTCAAGTTTCAGCTTTCTTTCTAATGCAGAAATAGCGTGCCCCGTACAATTTATTATGTGGATATGTGGATCAATTTCGTATTCGCAAAGCATTAAAGGAATCATTGATCTTGTATGTCATGTCGTCCTCTTGTTCGTCATGTGTATGATTAATGATGGAAATTACGTTAAGTACTAAGATTGAATAGAACGGTAATTTCTACGCTCGAACGGGGTCTTCTATCGTATACGAATGGTATATGATAACATTGAATATATGAAATAACGGCGAATTGGAGCATTTGTCGACCAAATCGATACATTCTTATTGGCGACCTTTATGTGCTACTCCAAAAGGAAAAAGCGGGTCGTCTTTGCGATACTTAAAAAGTCACTCGATGACCAATTAAATGTAACGATTGTACGTTATAAACGAGTGTAGTCAATAAATTATTCGCGATCTTGATAAATAATATCTGTAAACTTTACCCTTAATTTTTATTCAGATCTAAAATAAAGCTAATTAAACCATCTTTATTTTTAACCAAAATATACTCAGCTTCAGCAGTCTTGGCGCGACTTTTTAATAATTTCATAAACCCTCGGCGTTAACGAACGGGGATGCGCCACGATTTTCTATTAAGCTATAATAAAATATAATAAAAACGACGAAACTTTATTAACGCAAAAACGAATCGATCGTAGGACGCCCGAGTATGGGTACCGCATCCGGAGAAGGTGTGGGAAGGCGCCGTGCTCTTGGAGAACTACAGGCAGAATCCGCCGACGTTGAAAGTGCGCACGGAAGAGTCGAAACAGACGAGGATATTGGAGATCAAATCGGACAACGATCTCCCGCCGCTCCGAAATCCCGACATTCTGATCGGAGAAAACAATCTCACGTCGCTGTCGTTCCTTCACGAGCCCGCTGTCCTCTACAATCTCCAGATTCGCTTCCAACGGCATTCCATTTACACCTACTGCGGCATTGTCCTGGTAGCCTTCAACCCGTACAACGAATTGCCCATCTACGGCAATGACACGATATGGGCCTATAGGGGCCAGGCGATGGGCGACCTGGAACCCCACATATTCGCCGTGGCCGAGGAAGCCTATACGAAGTTGGAGAGGTGAGTAATCTCCCGTCGACAATTATCTACAGATATTGTGTCATCGATATACGTTTGTATATCAATGTTAATTAAATGACAAGTCAGGTGATCTTTCCGTTGGATAAGAAACAATACTAATCGTTAATGACTGTATAAATAAAAAAAATATAAATACTTCAGTTAAGTAATAAATTAATTTTAATAGAATTTAAATTATATCTATACAAAATATATTTTGTATTATTATATGTATACTATATTATATTTTGATTCAATATAATTAGCTCCAATTTAACGTAATCTTATTTAATTCGAATAAAATGATAATTAATTTATACAAACTTTTAATTTAGAGAGAATCATGACCAGTCGATTATCGTCTCCGGCGAATCGGGCGCCGGCAAAACGGTCTCCGCGAAGTATACCATGCGGTATTTCGCGACTGTCGGCGGATCGGCGACGGAAACGCAAGTCGAGAAGAAGGTCCTCGCCTCTTCGCCTATCATGGAGGCGATCGGTAATGCGAAGACTACCAGGAACGACAATTCCTCTAGATTCGGAAAGTTTATCGAGATCCAGTTCAATAAGAGCTATCACATCACCGGCGCGAGCATGAGGACCTACCTGTTGGAGAAGTCGCGGGTGGTGTTCCAAGCGAATGAGGAGCGAAACTATCATATCTTTTATCAGATGTGTTCGGCGGCGAAGCGTCTTCCCCAGTTGCACCTGTCCGACCAAAATCAATTCCACTATCTTAATCAGGGCAACAACCCCAGGATCGACGGCGTGGACGATCTCGCGTACTTTGATGAGACGATAAATGCTCTGACGATGCTCGGCTTTACGTCCAAACAGCAGGACGACATGCTGCGGATCCTGGCGGGCATCCTACATCTAGGTAACGTAAATATAAGCAGTTGCGTGAGCAAGGACGCAAAGGACGGCGAGGTGGATACCGAGTCCAGCTACATTTCGCCGTCGGATCGGCATCTACTCATTCTTTCCGAGCTGCTGGGCGTCGAGGTGAACGCGATGCGCAAGTGGCTGTGCCATCGGAAGATCGTCTCGACACGAGAGGTCTTTCTGAAGCCCATGACCGTGGAGCAGGCGAACGGGGCGCGGGACGCCTTGGCCAAGCATATCTATGCCGAGCTCTTCAACTGGATCGTGACCAACATCAACAGCTCACTGCAGTCACCCAGTCAGCCGCACTGTTTCATCGGCGTACTGGACATTTACGGCTTCGAAACGTTTGAGATAAACTCGTTTGAACAGTTCTGCATCAACTACGCGAACGAGAAGCTCCAACAGCAGTTTAATCAGCACGTCTTCAAGCTGGAGCAGGAGGAATATCTGAAAGAGGACATCGAGTGGACCTTCATCGATTTCTACGACAATCAGCCGTGCATCGACCTGATCGAGACCAAACTCGGCATTCTCGACCTCCTCGACGAGGAGTGCCGCATGCCGAAGGGTTCGGACGCCTCCTGGGCGGAGAAGTTGTACACCAAGTGCATCAAGTCTAAGCACTTCGAAAAACCGCGATTCGGCACTACAGCCTTTCTGATCTATCACTTCGCCGATCTCGTGCAATACGAAACCGTGGGCTTCCTGGAGAAGAATCGCGATACCGTAATCGAGGAGCAAGTGGACGTGCTAAGAAGCGGCGAGAACAAATTGCTGAGAAGGCTGTTCAGTGACGAGGACCCGAAGTTGACAGTGCCGCACACGAGAGTGAAAGTGTCCGCTCAGAAGAGCGCGCCGATGAGCGCAGCCAACAAGCAGAATAAAAAGACAGTCGGCTCGCAGTTCCGTGACTCCCTCAACATGCTGATGGCTACACTGAACGCAACGACGCCGCACTACGTGCGCTGCATCAAGCCGAACGACGAGAAGGAGGCCTTCGAGTACAGTCCGGTGCGTGCGGTGCAACAGCTGCGCGCTTGCGGCGTTCTAGAGACCATCAGGATCTCCGCCGCGGGCTTCCCAAGTCAGCGTACGTACGGCGACTTCTTCCAGAGGTACCGCTGCCTCTGCAGGTTCAAGGAGATACGGCGGGATGATCTGAAGGAGACTTGCCGGCGCATCCTGGCCAGATACATCAACGACGAGGACAAGTTCAAGTTTGGCAAGACCAAGGTGCTTTTCAGGGCCGGTCAAGTGGCGTATCTGGAGAAGTTACGGGCGGAGAAACAGCGCGATGCTTGTATAATGATTCAGAAGACTGTGCGCGGTTTGATCCAGCGTAACAGGTATAGGAAAATCCGTAGATCGATTCTGGGCATTCAGAGATACGGCAGGGGTTACATCGCCCGGAAAAAGGCAGAGGCTGTGAGGAGGGAGAGAGCGGCGGTGAAGATTCAGGTGCATGTGAAGGGCTGGCTGCAGAGACGATGGTATTTGCAGTTAAAACGCACGATTCTCGGCCTGCAGACGCGCGGCAGGGGTAACATAGCTCGCGCCAGGTACAGGATGATGAAGGACCACGCCGCCGCGACGGTGATCCAGAGATTCGCTCGTGGATATCTCGTGAGGATGGCATGCAAGAAGAAACTCAGGGACATAGTAATCGTACAGTCGTGCATCAGGAAACGCCAGGCGAAGAAGATCTTTAGGCAACTGAAGGCCGAGGCCAGAAGCGTGGAGCACGTCAAGTCGCTCAACAAAGGATTGGAAATGAAGATTATAACGTTGCAACAAAAGATAAACGAGATGGTAAGTGATATATGTCATATAATAATATTTTGCCCATATAAGCTTAAATCATAGATGTATTTATTATTATATGCTTTTATTTATCTTTTTAATAATACGTGATTGCATCTGAGAAACGCACGAACTTGTTATTTCAGGCGAAGGAGAATCAACACTTGAAGAACGTTCAACACGAGATGGTAGATTTGAAGTGCAAGCTAGACAGCTTGAAATCTGTCGACGTTGAGAATAAAAAATTGAACGGAATGGTGCAAGACAAAGAGAGAGAGTTGAAAAAGATGGAGGAAATTCTACAGCGGGAGAAAGACGAGAAGATGGATATATTGCATGATAAAGAGAGAACTGGTCTACAGAAGGACGAGGAGAACAAGAAGCTGCAGGAAGAGAATGAAAGATTGCGAAAGGAACTCTCGATAGCGACCGAGAAATTGAAGAGCAACCAGCGCGGTGCTGAGGAGAACCTGAAGTATCGACTCGAGCAGGAGAAAGACCTGCTTATGCTGGAACAGGATCAGGATCGCGGAGCTTACCAAAGACTGCTCAAGGAATATCATGAGCTGGAGCAGTACGTGGAAATGCTGGAACAAAAGATTGCGTCGATTCAAGGAGTGCTCGGGCACTCGCGCTCCTTGAGCAATGCTTCCAGCGGCAATGGCCAAGTCACGTCGGCAGAAAATCTTCCACACGATGATCAAAACATCGTAAGTCAAGACACATTTATTCATTCATTCATTCATAATGGCGCAACAGTCCTAGTCGGATCTGGGTCTCTCCCAAAGTCATGTGCTTGTGGTGCACACGCAATACAAGCGATACAATTTTATTTATTTTGGTTCTCCATCCATCCTCAGTCCTATTACTCGTGTCCGAGCGTGGTGACTTCTCTTCATATACATGTGTTGCGCACGTGGATTATACACATTGTATATGGGACCTACAGTTTAACGCCGATTCCGAACGGCAATTTTTAGAGAAGTTTTCATGGCAAGACATACTCTCGGTGGTTTGCCATTGCCTTCCGAGAGGAGAACGAGCGAATAAAATTTTCTAGCCCTACCGGGAATCGAACCCGGGACCTTTGGTTCAATAGACCAGTGCGCTGTCTACTAGGCCACGCTCGTCCTCAGATTCGTCCTCATTTTGGTTCTACCAGGACTAGATTTGAACCTGAGATTTTTGGTTTAGCAGACCAGTGCGCTGTCTGCTACGCCACGCTCGCTCACACATTATGAATATTATTGAATAAACTGAAGACTCGTTTATATAAAAGGAATTTTAACATGCAATTAAGAATGTAAAACTTACTTTGTCCTATTTTATTTTTTAATGCTTACTGTAAAATATGATAATCATATCTTTAGCTATATTTTGCCTCTCTAGATTTCAATTTTTCACTTTTTATTATAATTACTATTAAAATAAGTTTATTGAAATTACACGCGCCCCGATTTCTTTTTGTAGGATTTCGGTTACGGTTCCGTGAGATCAACAGCTTCCTCGTCGACGCCCTACTCGCGAGTGGAAACGATCGACTGGAGTCAACAGCGGTCGGATAGCCCACCCGACGGAGAAGTTCAACCCAACAAATCGTCTTCGGAGGCCGAGGCCAGGCCCGCACCCACACACGCTCCCGTAGACATCGGTCTCGTGTTGAAGCTGCAACAGAAACTGAAAGACGTCGAGAAAGAGAAAGGCAGACTTATCCGAATGGTCGAGGATTTGGAACGCGACAGTAACGAGGAGTCTACCAGGACGCAAGATTCGTTTAGAGTAAGTAGAGGAAATTATACAGAAAAATAGATTTTTTATCTTAAAGTTTCATTTTCGATCAGTTATTTCTGTGTCGAGTCCTATCTATCTTAACACCTGCCAATTTTCTGACGCGAACTCGACGTCACTTAACCGGC